AAAGTGAGCATCAAACCACCATGTTTGTTTTCCCAGTGGGATGCGCCTATTGACAAAGCCAATCTTTTCAAGTCTTTTGAACCATATCGCTTTTGTTTCTGGTTCTGATATTGTCATATTTTAGTTTTGGGATTCGGACATCGTAATTGTGTGGTTGTTGGATGTCCTAACAGCAGAAAACGGCTCGAGAAATTTGTTTGCGAACTCCATAAATGCAAACTGGAATCAGATCTGTGTGACTGCAAACCTCTGTTCAAACTGTTTCTCCTCCCAATGGAATTGAAAAACAGTCAAAGGTGAAGGCGATGGGCAGTACTGATCCAGAGGAAGGACGAAAAAGGAAACCTTTGACTGCCTAAATCATCCCGAGTTTGCAGCGAACGTTTTGTACGTGAGTGCCAACAAAGCAAAATCCCGATCCCTCACTCAGCATTGGTTACAAATTAAAAAAGTGAAAAGGCACCAGCTGTTCATCAAGAAACACCTGTTTGTCTTCCGCACCTCTCACTTAACAAACGGGATCCCACTTTGATCCACATACAAAATGTTCACTGCAAACTCGGGATGATTTAGGCAGTCAAAGGTTTCCTTTTTTGTCCTGTGCCCATCGCCTTCGCCTTTCATTATTTTTCAATTCCTTTGGGAAGGGAAACAGTTTGAACAGAGGTTTGCAGTCACACAGATCTGATTCCCTTTTCCACTTATGGAGTTCACAGACAAATTTCTCGAGCCGTTTTCTGGTGTTAGGACATTCAACAACCACACAGTCACGATGTCCAAATCCCACAACTAATCAGAACCAGAAACAAAAGCGATATGTTTCAAAAGACTTGAAAAACAAACATTGTGGTTTGATGCTCACTTTTTCTGATATTCCTTCCCAGTATGCATTGCACAATGACCGGAAGTCCAAAATTTTTGATGCAACTATTGGATGGAAAACCACAACGGAAACACATCTACACTGCTGTTTGTCCAAAGGGACAAGTACCCAATGATCTATTTCATTTTTGTTCTGTTCATGGAGTGTTTGACTGTTTATTTGTTTATTATTTACAGACTTGCTGTTTGAGTGATTCATGCATGTTTGTTATCAGTCTGGTCTCCAGTAAATCTCCCTGTATTCAGATGGAATTGATTGACAGGTGGGGACACACGTGGTCCACCCGTATTGGAAAAAAAATAAAGGAATAAAATATGACACCTCTGAAGTTGCAACAGACAGTGTGGGGACCAGACTGATATCCCTCTGTTAAAAAATACAGAAGTATCATTGTTTTATGAGTAATCCTGCATTCAGAGGTTGCGTTTTCAAAAGACAAAAAAGAAAATGACCTCCCCCCCATCCCCTGCCCACAGTTCTGTACATATAGTATTTTTCGTGTCATCTGGAAAATGACACCAGAATATAGAAAAAAATTCAAAAATGTATGTGGAAAATACTCAATATAATAACATTCTCCTTTTAAGCAACATTTTACTCTTATATAACAGCCGGCAATGAGAGTACTAACTTATGTAAACTACAAAATAAATAATAAACTACAAACAATGTGCTCATGCTTGAAATAAATTCTCTTGCACCACAAAAGAAAATTCTGAATTCAAAATGACATTAAAGCAGATGTGTATTTTTGTAAGGCAGGTTATGTCATTATGATAGAATCAGGAGCCACAGGATTCAAGTTTTGAATAAATGAGGGCAACACGATATAGAAAGTCATCATCACACAAAATATTTACACAGCATTTCTTCGAAGAGGAAAGTGGAGGAAGAGTAGAGCCCGTATTTAGGTTTAGATGGCCACAACTGGAATATTATTATTATATAGAGTTCATTCAGACTAGAGTGGCACAAAAAATCCTTCTATTCATATTATTTCTCATACAAAATATTTGTGGAGTATAATAATAAAATACCTAATGTTAAGTAATGTTGTTACTATTTTTGTATAGTAACTTTTTAGAGCAATACAATGAGCAACAAAGAGTCATTTTCTTATGTCAATGTATATTTCAGGTTGTTTTTAGACTATTAGAGGTTTAAACCATAGACTCTTCTACTAATGGGAAAAAACACGGACATGTGTTTAACAGGCTTAACCTGTGGCCAATCATTAAAGGGGGGTATTACGCAAAATCAACTTTTTTGGAGCTTTCTAATGTTGTTTTATAATGTGGATCTGAAGAGGCTCTAGATGTCGTCCATACATGTTTGAGTATTTTAGCAATCTCTCCTGGGCCCTCCTTATGGTTAGCAGTGTAATTCTGTGCCCAGCCCACAAGTCTGTCACCCATACTTCAGTACAACCATTTTAGATAAATATACAAAAAAATAAATAAATACATTAACTTCACAAACCTGATGCGATGTGCGTAGTTTCATTCGCGGTATGCACGATGATTGTGTTATGAAAGGGGGGTGAGCAAAGGGAGGGGGAATCAAGGCAACAGAAATTAAAGTGAAACATATTAAACATGTTTTCACTGAATATTTTTAACATTATAAAAGGTAACAGGTGATCTAAATATGTTATGGGTTAGCAATTAATCAGCAGACACCAGCCTCCTCACTCCCTCATTTGGACATGGCACCGGATCTTGGGGAACCGAGCCTTTGCCGCCGTCGCCCCCACCCTCTTGAAATCATTCCCACAACCCATCAGGGCTCGGACTCATCAAAGCACTTCAAATCACTAAAAACTCACCTATTCAAACTGTTCCCCCCGTGGTTTCCATCGCTGCTTTCCACCATTTCCTGTTGGTTCCTTTTTGTAAAGCATCTTTGAGGGTCCTTAAAAGCGCTATACATAATATATATAATCAGTCAATCAGTGCCTCTACTGCTGTACATTTATACTGTCCAGATACTGAGAAAAAGAGATTTTTTTTAGGTATCCTCTATATGCAGGTTAAGACACTGGCTAAGTTTTAGTAAGTTATAGTGACATTACTCCTTTGAATTCTTTAACTACATCTAATATTTACACAGTGGAGCCGCTTTGACTCAGTACTTCTCTGAAACGCCTGGGGCCTCATAGTCGTAGAGTTACTGTACAGTGTACGTGACCACTGCCGACTGCTCTCGTGGCATTTTATTACTGCTCGGTTTGGTACTGATGCCATGTCCTTCACAAGTCAAGAAACATGAAAGAGAGAAGTTATTGACAAAGGGCATTTTAGTTTTACATCAGGGTAATAAGGTTAATATTGGTTAAACAATGATGATGAGCACATTGAAATAAGCATACAAATCTACGCAACCACAAGCCTATGCCTCAATATGTGCAATATTGAAGTAGCTTGGGGTGAGTGATTCTGACAAAAATTAAACTTGCCTTTTGGTGCACTGTAAAATTAAACACAAATTGCCATTGTGTCCTTGAGGAAAACCTTTACCGATTATTTTTATTTCATCGTATCTTATATTCACTATTTTTACTCATTGTTACATCACACCATAACACTGAAGCAAATTCCTAGTTTGCAAATTGTGTTCAATGACAAAAAAAAAAATCCTATTCTAAATATAGTGTGTGATTGGAGAAACAGAAGGCACAGATCGGCAGCGTCACCTTCAGTTTCACCCAGGGCAGCTGTAGCTACACAACAACAGTCTGTAAAATGAATGTGAGTAATGACGTCAGCACAGTGCTATAAAGTGTCTTGTCAAGCCTGTAAAGGTCAAAAATGGAAGTCCTAGTTATGTGGTTAAAACTGGCTGGATTTGTACAGCAGATAAAAGGAATTATGACAAGGGAATCCTGTTTTTAAACAGCTCAGAAGAGGCAAGAGTCAATCCGTGTATCATTCGTTCATTCATTTTTCAATATAAAGCCAAAAATAAGAAAACAAATAAAACAACTGTTTTCTTCTTTATTTGTCTCCAAAACCAAAATGAAAAAACAGATAATGATTTGTTTTAGTTTTTTTTTTTTTTTTTCTCGATTTTGTGTTTAAATGAATTATGAAAAAAATGGATGGATAAATGGATAACGGCCGTTTCCTGTTTATGTGACTTAAACTGAAATGCCAGACTGAACTGGGACCAGACCGGAACCAGACCGCGACTGAAAACACTTAGTCCTGGTTCAGTCCTGGTTCAGTCAGGCATCACAGTTTAACTCACGTAAACAGGAAACGGCTGTTATCAGTTTTTTTTTCATTGTTCATTTAAACAAAAAATCAAAAACTGAATAGTGAAGACATTTTTTTTTTTCTTTTCATTTTCTTATTTTTGAATTTATTTATTTATTTTGAAAAACGAATGAACGAAGGATACCCGGATTAGAGTCGTGTAGCTCTTTCTGTTATCTGATTCATGTCCATGTCCATGTTATTTATTTTATTTTGTGTTTGTTTTTCTGTGCAGCACTGTGGAAACGTTACAGTGAAAATGTGCTATATAAATATTGCCTTCCTCATTCAATAAGGACACAGCTTCCAGTATCAATATTTAATTACACAATATAACATGTTTAAACTTACTACATTAAACTGTACTGAGACTACACTACTTTAGTTGTAGCCTGTTAATCAGTCTACTGTGTCTTAGCCTAACAAAATGTATTAGTCGACTCATTTTATTTAGACTCCAAGGATTTATACGGGACAATAGCAGAAAGGAAAAGTTGGTGAGTGAGAGCGTTAGTCGGCAATATAATGGATAATCTAAATACATTGTTCCCTGGTACATTTTGCTGCATGAATAGTTTGCTGAATAGATTTTGTATTAACCCCTGTGTAAATATGGATTTACTATATACAGGACAACAGCAGAAAGCAAAAGTTGAAGATTTTGAGCTATCTTTAAATACATACTGTACGTTGCTTCGTGGTACCTTTGTCTGCATGAATAGTTGGTTTTGCATTTACTCCCCTGCAGGTGTCGACTTGTGAGTGCTTTGGGTCAAATAAAAAGAGTCATGTTAATTGAATGGAAATCTCACTCTCATGTTTTGGCCATTTTCTTCCTCGTTTGAAAGAAATACAATCAATACTTGAAGAAATAAAGCTTTACTGTAGACACTATCTATAATAATGACATTTAAATAGTATTACTAAATAAAATAACTTCATCTTTATTCATTACAATAAATATTTAAAAGAAGCTAATAAAAAGTCAGTGATCAAATATCTAAAAGTGCTAGATGCTAAAAGTTTCTTCAGTGTTTTCTACAAAAAAAAAAAAAACTTAGGTCATATCTTGTTTTGTTTTTTGGCTTCATTCTTCAAGTTCGATAAGTTTTTTCAGATCTGATTTTAACAACTCTTCATCCTCTTCCTCCTCTATCTCCACCTCAATCCCATCCATAGTCTTCTGTAAGTCTTCTTTGATCCGGTTCAGCTCCAGTAGTCCACTTTGGAGGTCTTTGCACACTTCTCGGATTTTGACGGCGAAGTCCGTCTTGGCTCCTTGCTTGAGCTCAATTGAGTCTTTGGCTAAGAAGAAGACGTCCAGAGCGAGGAAGAGTCCGGACATGACCCCAGTGGTGACGCTCATCACCTGGGCAGCTTTAGCGGCTCCTCCTGCTACGCTTAGAACCTGCACAGTGAAAAAAACAAGGGTGGGTGAAATGTGTTGCTTAAGGAAACAATGACATAACTCAATCCTCCGACATGGCTGTGCTCTAACCATATTTTTAAAAACTACCTGCACGGTGTTGATGAGGCTCTCGGTGTTGATGACCAGAGCTTTGCCTGCGCGCCCGCCCTCCTTCATCACATGCTTCACATTTTGGTTCAGGTGTTTCTTGGAGATAGCCTCGGCATATTGTTCGAAATTCCACTCCTCCAGGGTCTCCATACCCTCCTGTGGGTCGGATAAGCCCACAGCAAATGTTAAAGACGTACTGTGCTTTTGTCTACTGTATACTTAGAATCTATGACACCCATGGATCATTATATTATACTGTAATTTGAACATTTAAAATAGTAACATTGATCTAAAACAACGTTGTAATGCTGACTTTCGCTTTACAAAATTGTGGTGTCCAGTGGGAGCAGACGTCAATTTTTGTTTCATTTGTATGAAAGCACCGCAGAACACCGCAGCTGGACCAGGTGCAGTCTGAGCAAAACGTTAAGCTGCATATAGAAGACACATACATATCTTTCTCATCCTCAGTACATGGACAGGCCTCATAGGTAGTGAGAGTTAAAATAAGACAACCCAAATGTGAAACTGTAAGGCTCATTCTGCTTCTTGACTGTATCTCAAATGAAAACAACCAAGTTGCCAATCAAGTTTTTGTAATCAAGAATAAAAACAAACATTACAATGGTTAACAGCAAAGTCAACATTTGATTCCCTTGCTGTGTTTCCAGGTATAAGATAAGGAATTCTAGAAAATTAGAAATACAAATCTTTGTGTAAGTGTTTGAGATGAAAAATATGTATTTGATTGTGTTGGCTACTACCTTTCCCAGGCTTTTCTTTTATAAGAACAGAAATGGTTTATTTATTTGACTTTTACCTTACTTTTAAACATAACCGTTGTGTCTTTACCTGTACAAAGTCCAAGCACTCCTTGATGTCCTTGATCTCATCCTGATAGTCCTGGATCATCTTCTCCACTTTCTTGCGGTCAGTTTTGGAGTGGACTGTGTCTGTGATATTGGCTGAAGCTGAAGCAATCCCCCCCGCTGTGGCCACTCCGATCCCCACGGCGGTCACTATGAGCGAGGTCCCGGCGGTGAAGGGAGCCAGGATGAGCCCAGTGATGGTTGTGATTGAACCCGCCACACTGGCCACACCCCCACCCACGCTCGCCGTCACAGTCTTCTTATGGAAACTGTCAGCAGCATCGGCCATAGACAGGAGCTCCAGGATCTTCTGTTGCAGAGAGCCACCGCGTTTGTTAAAGAGACGCACGAAGAGGCGAGCAGCCATGAACACACGATCAGCCGCTTGTTCCACCACACTGTGAGAAAACACCAGCATAAAGTAAGATACACACTACCAGTTAAAAGTTTAAACACAATTTATGTTTCCTCTTTATTTTCATGATTATTTACATTGTAGATTCATACTGAAGACATTAAATCTATCAATGGACAAATATGCAATGTAGCAAATGAAAAATGAATAATAACTCAAAACTTGTTTAAGATTTTTCTGTATCTGGAAATGCTGCCCTCCACCCATGGGCCCTCATTAATGTAACACAAGTTTCTACTTTTAATTCTGTTTAACAGATTAACGAATATATTTGACTGACTGTACCAAGCAAGAGGAGATCGCAAACCAAACCTACAGGTGTCATATAGTCACTTACTCTTCAGCCTCTGCATCTTGTTTCGACTCGTTCCACTCATTCCAACCTAAAAACGACAAATCATTAGCTCCAAATGTCTGTTTAAAAATATTTCATGATTTCAAATGTGACCTACCCTCCACTGTGTTCCACCAGGACAGGAGCCCATCTTCATCCTGGAATCAAAGACAGAATTAAAGACAGAATTAAAGACAGATAAGGCAACCAAAAAAACATTACACCATTCTCATTGTACATGTTACAGATTTGATAATCCTGGAATTCTATAAAATAATGAGAATAATGATTCATTTCTACTTTGTCTGGTTCTTTCAGACATTATATCCCTAGGCTTTTAAAAATATCCACCCTTTGCTTTGAACCCTGGCATTTCTCAAGTGTGACATGGCACAGCTGTGAAGTGAAAACCATTTTAGGAGACTTCATCATAAAGATCATTGACAGAAGGCAAATGGTTTGTAGCGCTGTCCATAAAGCAAGGGATGGATACATTGAAAACTTAATATATAAACAAATATTAAGTTGCATTATTTGAATATGTTTTGTCTTGGCTGGATATTTCCACATTTCTTGCCTCATATATTTGGTGTTGTCACTAATGTATAAAGCAGTAAACAAGAAGTAAACTTTCTTTTCTTTTTTTTTAAACCTACATCCAGAGGATCTAGGGCTGTTTCTTCACTGTTGACATCTGCAAACTCCAGAGTCTCAATCTGCACTGCCTCCTGAAATGGAAAAACACTTTACAGTTAAAATGCTCTAAACATTAATTTACTTAAAAAGTATACTTAAAGGTACACTGTGTTACTTTTCTGGTACGGTGGTTTTATTGCTTAAAATAGCTAGAAAAACACTCATTCTGACTGTGAGCAGGGATGCCTCTCCACAGATGTGACCTGTAACTTGGTCTGGTGTGGACTCCATGAACAGTGTTGGGTAGTAACGGATTACATGTACCGCCGTTATGTAATTAGAGTACAAATTATGAGTAACTGTATTCAGTTACAGTTACTGTTTCAATGAGTGGTAATTGCATTACAGTTACTTTGCTGAAATAAGTGGATTACAAGGCAGTATTTTCCCGTTTTCACATTTTGTGCTACATCCCATTTATTTATTTATTTTTTATTTTGGTAATTCCACTCATTGCCGGAAACCCAAACAGAACGCGCGCAATAAGAGCGACGTAAACATCATGTTAACGTTGGCGGCATCAGTCACACAATGGACGAGGTCGAAGAGCCAGTAGAACAGAGGCAGCAGTGCACAGGTAAAAACGCATTGGTGTCTTGGAAATTCTTCTCCCGACATGAAATATAAAAAAAATTACAAATATAACATCGCCTACAAGTTAAATGTCAAACCGGAGCTACTGGCACTGGTGAAAACAAACTGCATAGACCCATGATAACTGGACTACTGTCCTATAATGACCTGCCACATGAGGGGACACACACACAAACACACACAAACACACACCTTCGTCATCGTCATCAACCTGAGAACGCGCGGACCACCGTCATCCTCCCGTGCGCCGCGTGTGGAACGTGTTTTCTCGCGTACGCTGCGTAGACCGCGCTTCCTCCTGTGAGCCTCTAAACCAAAACTAACACCAAGACTTAAACCAGGACTAACCCAGTCCATGTCTAAACCAGAACTAAACCAGGACTAAACCAGGTCTAAAATCAGGACTAAACTGGGACTAAACCAGGTCTAAAATCAGGACTAAACCAGGACTAAAACCAGGTCAAAACAATATGATACCTAACAGTAGGTTGGACATAATTTAAGGTAATCTCATATAAAAATAATTTCTCTATCAATAATATTTTTAAAAGATTGGACTTTTTATTCTCTTTTAGCAGACAAAACAAAACACCTTATGTTAAGATTCTGGTCTTTGCTTCTCTACAGTAAACAGTGTCTTATTCATGGAGACTTGAGCTCAACAGACAATTTGAAGAGAACAAACAAGAATTTTTAGGATGTGGTCAATACATTCATGTCGTTTTAAAAGGCATGACAATATCAAGTAATCCAGAGTAATCAGATTACGTTACTCACTTTAAGTAATTTAATGGATTACATTACAAACTACATTTTGGGATATGTAATCTGTAATCTGTAGGGGATTACATTTTTAAAGTAACCTTCCCAACACTGTATATGAAGATAGAAAAGTTTAATGCCAGACTGTGAAACATTCCAGACAAAGCAATAACATCTCCAGGGAGAAAAGCAATTGACAGTCCCTACACCAGAAAAGTTACACAATGCACCTTTAAAATTTGAATCTTAACCAAAAAATGTGGCATATTGGTAAACCAGGAAGTTCACAAACCATACAGTCCAAAGAAAAAAAAGCACAAGAATCATATTGCTGAATATATCAGGCAAAGCAATAACATCTCCGTGAAGACATCAGAGATTAAATGGTGGATTCAACACCATAAACCAGTTACATAGTGCACCTAGTTTGATACCAAGTTTAGGATGCGTTCACATTTGCACGACTAAGATGGAACTACACCCTGAACTCAAACTGGACTAGAACATGTGTGAACCCTTAGTTATCCCAGTTACAAATCTAATCCAGTGTTCTAATCACTTCATTTCAGACATGTATGACTACGTGCCACAGATGAAGACCAGAATAAGGAAGGCAAAGCATTTCCCATATCTGAGATCAACAACTATTTCAAATGAGACCTTTCACATAAAACATGAGGTTGTATAAGGCCAGAGAAGACACTGGACAGACTGGTTTAAACATGTAAAGCCAGTGAAAGCAATGAACTCAAAGGATCGTCTCAGAGAACACTAATGTAGCCAGTTCTTATTCTATATGGCAGAGATGTCACAATATCAAATTTTTGTGTTACAAGTATACAAATTTAGAAGTATACAGTTTATAATGTGAGCTCAACGAGGTATAAAAACATGTACCCTACTTGATATCAGTGTTACTTCAGTTATGTAGCAATTCTGTAGCTGTGATGGTCGGAAAACGAATGAAAATAGAAAAGAAGTAGTAGTAGAGAATAGTAAGTAGTAGCCATAGTAATCATTGTAATAGTAGTAGTAAGAGCAGTAAGACATAGTGGTAGCAAAAATAGTCACGATGGTAATATTGAGAAAACGTCTTGCCTTTATTTTACTTTATTTTAGGGCTGTAGGCCTTAAGTCGTTTAGTCGTTTATTGGTTGATGGTGTCTCAGTCAACCAAAATTTGTATTTGTAAACTAATCATTATATTTAGCTATATAAATATAATATAAGGATTTCTATGGGTCAACAGCAAAAAGGAGAAGTTAGTGAAGATTAAATTTATGATTCACAGAAGCAAAAGGAGCAAAAGCATAATTTGCAACACTAATGTAGCCTCACACTTTTTGCCTTACCTAGAAAATTCCAGACTCAACACATACAAAGAGAAATCATTCTGGATTTCCAGGCAAGGGAAAAACACAGTGTCCTGGTAACTGGAAGAAACACTGAACTTGACAATCAGACATGTGAGCATAAAATGGACTAATCTGTATGTGTTTAAACATTTTAATAAGTCTCTGTCTTGTTGAGAGATTGTGATTTTTTTTTTTTGTCTATTGTCTTTCATTTGTGTACCGTGTGTGTTTATAGTGGGTTCTCTCATTTGACTAAGATGACTGCATTTTGTATTTGTTAGAGAAATGCTTAAGTTGCAATAAAGTTATTAAAATGTACATAAGCTAGCAATGGAAACTTCTGCATTACCTATATGTGTTAAAGTGTTTTGAAACCATGAAATTATGTTGTGCTATGTCTGCATTGTATATCACCGTCTGTGCAAACAGAGAAGTGCAAAAGGTCACTGTAACAGTCTAGGTGCAGATGTACGGGGAACTGAAAGTCCTTGAACCTGTGTTCTAAGAAAGTGAGATATGAGGCGGGAGATGGTGGTGGGGGGAAGTGGAAACTGTCGCAAAGTTGTGTAACTATGTATGTGTTTTTAATAAAAGGGTTGTGCCGAGGTCATACGGGGGGAGACTGCTCAATCCAGCCATAGTAAGCGGTTGGAGTGTGAAGGCTCACACGTTGACCCCGTGCGCACGTAAAACTTTGACAAAGTCTCGAGCACTGATTTTTCTGACCAAGGTGATCTAATCCACAGTCAGCTGGAGGTTACTGGAGATTGATACTGTTTAATTCTACACTGTTTGTGTATTATTTTCTGACAGTATTCCACTGAGCCGTCATGTCATCGACCTGCCAACTCTGGAACAATTACATGATGTACTATCTGAACATGTTAATTAATATGCACTATCCCATACTTACTAAATATAAACAATTACAGGAAAAAAAATTACTTTGCCAGAATCAGAGATTGCAAATCCAACCAGGAAACCCCAAACTATTTAAACAATTCAATAATAGGCCATATATTCCTGTAGCTATCTGAAGCACATGATAGGTTTAAAAATAGAACAGTCTGAGGCCACAAGACGAGCTTGACCTGTTGCCAAAATGAAACTGTGCCAAATATCTCCGCGTTTACGGCACGGAAAAGAATTTGAGATTTCTAAGATAATCGGACATGTGGGCGCAGTCTGGTTTAAAAAAAACAAACTACGGATTACGAACTAAACTTATTATAAACGAGGGTGGTACTTGGTATTTACTTGATTAACAAAATACATTGTACTTTTCAAAGTACATTTCTAGCAGCATACTTTTACTCCTACTTGAGTAACTTATTTTGTCAGTGTAACAATACTCTTGAGTAAAAGTGGTTACTCTTCCCACTGTGAGTAAGTCTACAAATGACAAAAGTTACATGTTGACAATATGAAGTCATCTGAACATTTGTGTTTCTTGCACCGATCCTTTAGATAATGTAGTTTTTCTCATTTGTGTGACTATTTGTGTGAAAATGTTCTGTATTTGCTGCTCCCTCCTGCTGAAAGGATACTTTAATATCCTTTGCAATTATCAAAGGATATTAAAGTATCCCATCAGCAGGAGGGAGCAGCTTTAGATCTGACCTAGGATCATGGCCAGGAGTACTACCTGGAGGAGTAGCCTCAACTTGTTATTTTATAGTACTTTTCCTATATATAGTGTTATTTGGCTTGTACTGTACTGTATTTTTTTGCTTGTGTGTTATACTTTGGTAAGCTCAAATTTGTTTGTTCTTTAATGTGTTACATAAATTAACTTGAATAGAACTGAATGCTCATGTACAGGAATTAAAGTGGTCTTTCCTCCAGACCCCGCTCGGTGTAACTGCTCATCACAGTAAAGGCGCTGTACCTGAATTGTCTTAAAAAAGAGGAAGACAACTTCTGAGCATCATAATTACTCACCGTGATGAGTTTATCATAACTTTCCGAGACCAGTGTGGCGTTTTCCCGTGAGATTAAAGCAAACAACAAGTTGCATGCTGACTCGCATTTCCTGATTAATGGAAAAATAAAACTCCAGACAGTACACAGTGGACATATTTTGATCTCAAGAGCTGTTTATATAATATAGCTGTACTTTCAAGACATATTTTGCCCAAACAAAGGGGAAAAGAATAAAGTACATGACCTCTCATTTTGAATCCTAACCACTCTGCCACTGTGTTCTTCTGAAATTTGTTCTTGGGTCAAATGATTACCTCACATGACTGACTCAGTTGTTTATCTATGTACTTTTTGTCGACATACTTGGAAATAATGAATGTGCAAAGCGGTTAGCATGTGAACTGTTCCATTTCAGATTCACCCTCAGATGCACTGGAAACGTTTTTTTTTCAATACAACTAGTCTTTAAATGTCTTTTTTAACCAGTTTTTAACAGCTTCTGAACAGGTTTTGTCTGGGTGACTTTAAAACATCCTGAGGAACCTTTACCTAGAAGAGGCCCATATTACACTATTTGTGATGTATGTTAGAATGTCGTTTCCTCATCAAAAACATACATGGAGTTTTGGTTTGTTTCGTTCACACATGTTTAACACAAATTCTACATATTTCTATTTAGGCGTATTGAGTTCTTCTCTTCGTCATGTGTTAATACAGGAAGTGCTCCACTGTGTTGTAAACTCAATACACCTTCACTAGAATCACTTGTAAAATCTGAGCCCTGGAATTGCCAATAACTACTCAACTAAAAGTAAAAAGCACCTGTTAATTTCAAAACTACCGCATCATGACATCACAAGGTGGAACAGAGCATTTTGAGCTTTGGAAATATAAATCAGCCTAATAATAAAGTATTACTCAAACATGTTTTGTTGTTTTGTTTTGTTTCATTTCATTCACACATAACAAAACACAATAACATTATAATATGGCATTTTGTGTAATATAGGACCTTTTAAAATGGGGAAGTGAGTGGCTAAGAATTCTGTGGTAGAATATTTGTTGTTTAAATGTCAGATTGCAAATTTGTTGACCTATTTTATGGTAAATATCTCTGTAATTACTTGGACCTATCCACATCAAATTAAAACTTATCAGTAACACGAGCTATTTATTACAATGAGGAAGCATTAGTCTGTCAAAAAGCTGTCATTGTCAGCATCGTCACTGGAATCAACAAGTCTGTTTTTTTCCAGCAAAAAATACATATAGTTCAACATTTATATATATACATTTTTTTTGTTTTTATTTAATGTACTTATTTATTTTTACCCATAGATTTATATAGGCCCCTGTCCTCCATGTGAAATATATTTTTAGAACCACTCAATTGTACAAACCTGTGTCTGGGCCTGTACTTCTGATGCAGCAGAATTCTGAAATGAGTCAAAATAAAAACTTTACACATTCGGACAAACACTGAAACAGCCACATATTAAAATTAAATAATGATTAATCAACTACTACTGAAATATGCGTTGACCATTTTCCTTATCCTAAATCATTATCTGGACTATACAGACTCAAAATCGCATGCTTATTTGTTATTTTGTTTGAAATTGAAAAAACAATTCATCAAAAAGTTTAAAGGGGCTATTAAATCAAAATGCCATAACTAGCAATTTGGGATTTTTATGAATAATACTTTTGTAATTCTCCAAAAGCCTTAACCCCACCTTTATCTGGCTGCATCAAAATCATCTCAAGTAGCTTTAGAATATAACAGTTTGATAAGTAGATGTTACAAGTTAAAATGGATTGATTGATTTATTTTTTGATTGATTGAAAAGGAGATAGAAAAGAAGATGGCGACATACTTACAAAACCATCATAGTAGACTGTATTAAGTCCAAGGTAAACACTTTCACTATCAGAAATCATTTTTGAACTTATCTTTAATTAATTTTAAAACACCAACAGCAAAACAAGACCAGAAAATTGAATTCTGTTAAGTTTTGTCCAGTTGACCGAACTGAATTCTCTTTTACTTATGGACCATTGTGAAATATAACAATTAAAAGCTGAAAAAATTTGTTGAGTAGAATATAGCACTAACTATAAGAATTACCTGTGCTCCTGAGCCAAACAAACCAGTGGGCAGTATCCTCTTTAGGCGGAACGTCTGGAGAAGGAAAAAGAAGATTTATTTATTTATTTATTTATGACTGACTAAAGTAAAGAAATGTTATAGCACTTTGTAACAGTACTCACCATAGTCCTCTTCTTTCTTGGCTGCTCTGGTTGAACCTCGGTGCTGACTGCATCTGTGTACCAAATGGACTATAGAAGCACAACAAAGTTCATCAGTGATACAAGCCATGTTATAAAACCATGTAAATCTACAGTTTTCATATCAGTGCATTTGGAACGAGTGATGACCGTGACCTGTTTGTTTCCATGGAAATATTGTTCTATGCTCAGTTTTGGCACAAAACTTGGAATCTATGTATCTCCATCCATTAACTTTTTATTTCCATAACCATACAGCTGACGTGCCCCCCTCCAATAAGTTAGACACTGTAGCTTTTTTTCTTTTCTTAAATTAATGAGATTCATGGTCCTTAACAAATTTAAAAGGTACATTTGTCATGTATTTTCTTGTATCCCAGTTGTTAAACATCACTACATTTGAGAAATTACAACTTTTAAGATATGTCTTGAATATAATGTTCTCTTGGACATTTAAAATTTGCTCAAAAAACTAAATATCTCCCTGTGAATACGGTTGCGTCTCCACAGATCTGATCTGTAATGTCGCTTATAGTTAGAGATAGATGGGTTTAATCTTTGCCGTGGAACATTCTAGACAAAGCAACAGTATCTCCATGAAGACAAGAAGGTGACAAATCCCTCCACCAGAAAAGCTGCGCCATTGCACCTTTAAGTTCACTCTAAAATAAACTGAAATCAAAAAATTGTATAGCATAAAATGACACTTTAAACAACAAAGCACCTGTCAAAAATGTCTGTGTCTTTGTATTTTGGAATTTAGTATATTGACATAGGTGGAGGGATTCCTGTTTTAGAGCTGCGTCCTGTAATAATTGGTGTAAAACTATAATCAATATTTCCCACCTGTAACTAAACCACCACACACACATGAAAACCTGTCATATGCACTTGACATTTTATGATATCTTTCTGACTGGAAGCAAAGCAAAACCTGTTGTTCAGAAAGTTCCAGATGCCCTCATGGAGATTTTTGTTTTTGTTACTTGTTTGTTGGCTGAGAATATTTTCGTTCGTGCCATAAATTTTTCTGATTATCTTTGTACTGCCACATTTGCGCCATTACCTTTCAATCTGATAAGTCCTTTTGCAGCATTAAAACACGCACAGACATTAGCAACAAGAGAGAGTAAAATCACAAAAAAACAAACAAAACAAAATTATTCGCAAAATCAGATAAGCATCATTTGTGTTAGTTTAAAAAGTCATGTTTCACCCTTTTTACAGTAATGTTTTCAAAAGCCAAATGCATTTTACTGCTATCAAAATATGATTCATCCTTCCTTGTTAAAATCCATTAATCATCACTAGCACTGATAATATTTGAAGATGGAAAGAAAAAATACACTACATAAATACTTTTTGACAAACAGAGATGAGTTTTTACAGTAGAACTCTTCAAATATGTGTTGGATTTTCACAAAGTTGTCATGAAAACTTTAATTTACAAATGAAGGCAGTTGCATAAATAAAAATAAAAAGATGTCTTACGTGAGGTTGAATCGTCTCGTCATTTAAACTTTCACAACTTGAAGAGGAGGAGCTTTCGAGACCCTGAGCAGCCTAAAAAAAACCCAAGTGCAATTAGATTCAGTTTAAAATGTTTAAATTTGATTAAAAATGTCATTGTGTATTACCTATTCATGGAGAGTATTCATGTAAAGTACCTGTGTTTTTGCAGACAGTCGTTTTGGAGCAGAATCAGTTTGACACTCACTGGGCACCTGTGAAATAGTGGTGAAATCACAAATGAACACAGTTTAATGTAGTAATCATGGGTTTCAGACTGTTTGAGACTATTCAAAAAGGTAGATTTTTGCCCATATGCAGCTAACTGAAACAGCTAATCAAGTAAATATATAATATAAGAAGCCTTAAATAGGTCTTCAGTGTTGTTGCACCTATCCAGAGTTTTCATTTCCATTGCCAATATTGATACTTTTAATGTGAATGGTTTGATGATTATTTATTTGAATGATTTGAGTATCTTTCTTAATCTGTAAAGCACTTCGAATTACTTTGTGTATGGGAATGAGCTTTACAAATAAACTTGCCTTGAAAAACACTTTCTATTCTAAATAAAGTGCGTTTTATGATCACTGTGGTGTCTGCATCAGTATTGAGTATCAAGTCTATTTCTTAGTATCGAAATGTTTGAAATGTTCGTGTCGTGATAACACTAATTCAGCCGTGGGTAAATAAGGACATGTGGTCAGTCTGAACCTGGTGCACGGACACAGTCTGGTGAACACTATTAATCACAAGTTGCTGTGTGGATTGTTTCTTTTCTTTTTACTTTCTCAAAATAGAACACCTGGTTTGCTCTTCTCATGAAATGAAAGAGAAAAGAAACTTGATCTCCAGACAAGAAACAAAGAAACACTGCTTAACTATGTAAAAAAAAAAAAAAAGAAAAATCTAAGTGCGTCATTCAGTTTAAACTCTATACAACTTTTTTGTTTGGGAATCAACTACTTATTTGTCTCAATGGAGATGTTACCACTAGGCCTGAAAGTTCCACAGTATGGCATTAAATCTTACTATCTTGCATTCATTCAAATATCTTGTTCATTACTAAAACATATCTTGAAAACTTTTAATTCATATTAGTAGGACCTAAGTTGCTCGGGCCTATAACCTGTAACATGCTCGTCTCCATGGAGATAAATAAATTTAACACAAATTTTTTTTTTTAAATAAACACATTTCATTGTGTCTTTTTACAAATGAATGTATGGACAGATTTGTTTTAAATTAAACTAAAAGGAAGACAACGAACATAACAATAACATAATAATTTAGGGGACTGGGAAAATATTTAAGGAAATAAAATAATAATATATACTTTTTTGTTTTAGTTTTACACCACACTGCGTAACATTCCAGACAAAGCGATAACATTATCATCCACACATGTTTAAGACACAAACCCTGCTTATTTAGGATTCCATATGGCAGACCTTTCACCAGAAGAGTAAAACTTTAAAACAGCTATATTAAAATTATATTTTATAAACTATATGTGTGTGTATTGTGTAATATATACATTCATACACATGTATATAATCTTTTTCCTCTGAGTGTATGCTTTCATGTACATGGTGGTAATAGAGGTTTGGTAGTCATTAACACAATTACCCAAACAATGGACGTTGTGAGTACGCCAAATCCTTACTCAAATATAAATGCATTAGCTGCATTGTATTGTATTGTACCTGAGAGGAGGAGGACTTAAACGGGTTGACCTTCTGCATCATGCCTTTAAATACCCCCTGGTTCTACAATAAAGCACAAACAATAGAGAACACTCAGAGTGCATTATGAGTACAATGGAAGCTATTAATGACGCTGGAGTGAAAAGGGAAATGCCAAAATGAGATATTAAAGGAATCTCTGGCTCGACCTAGTGGCATGACTGATAACAAAAATATAACGCAAAATGTGCTGAATCATAGTAGTCAATGTAGTAGTTTTTAAATAGTAGTAGTAGTAGTAGTAGTAGTAGTAGTAGTAGTAGTAGTAGTAGTAGTAGTGCAGTAGTAGTGCATAATAAAAGGTCCTGTATTACACAAATTGACTCTTTTGAGCTTTAGGACATGTTACAAAGCTGTTACCTCATCAAAAACAGACCTATAGTTATATTTTGTTTCAAACAACAGTTTGAGCAATCCTTTATTATTAGTCTGTCTACATCTCCAAAGCTCACAATGCTCTGTTCCACCTTGTGATGTCATGCAGTGGTAGTTTTAAAGTTAACAGCTACCTTTTACCTTAGTTGCCCCTAATAAAGTAGACACTTACATAACATTAAAGAAAGACATAATGGAACAATAAATGCTCATAAGTTCTCACAGACTTGGTTTTAGTCATCCACTGTTTAAGTGCAGTTTAAAGTGGACAGTGAGTAACATGTCAGTAATGTAGTAGTACTGGTAGTAGTAGTTAGGAGTAGCAAATAAACACATACTTGCTGATTGGGCCGCGGCGGGAGCACTGGATTTTGGTTATTTATGGAAATCTATTACCATAGAGATAGAAAAAATATATATTTGAAGATTTTATATGTACTGCCTTGCTATGTTTTAATCACAGTTAATCTTGAAATTGTGTGAAAAAGATGCCTACAAATATAATGTGCTGTTATTTATTACCATTACAAGTACAACAGTCATCCCAGACTATTGGCACAATTTGATTCTGTAGTAATATGCAACTTAGTCAAAAAACAACAACTCTTGTATAAACTACTTTAAAAGTTAGAAGACTTTGTTGTCATTTGGCGTCATCTGGTGGTCACATGGCATATTACAATTTCAGTAAAATCAATTTTCAGGCAGTCAAAGAGTGCACATAAATACATAGGAAAAACATGAACTGTTTTTGAGCTTTAACTCACCAATAATAAAAGTACTAAAAGATGAGGTAAAGTACAGTACCTGTTGTTCTGGTCGAGGTGGCAGGTCTGGAGTCTTTGCATTCTCATCAGTGGAAATCTAAGAATCAAATAACATTTAAATACTTTTTTTTTCCAGTCAAATTGTCAACCGAGTATGCATAAAGAAAAGGTTACAACATTTGTATGCAAATGTATTTAGGTGACAAAAATAATTTTAATTGAAGAAAATACAGTGTATAATATAGATTAATTCAAAGTCAAATCTTTGTAAGACTAATCATTTATTTCTTATATTTTTGTAATCAAAATCATAAATTACTTTTTTGTCTGGCAGGTTGTTGTTCTCAGTTAGGCTTCCTTCACTGCCCGAGAGGTCACTGTGAACGAGCTTTGGGTCCTATAATGAATAGATAAAAACACATAATAAAATGCATTAAAACAGGTTTATCAAATACATCACCATTTTAAGACACATATGTACACATACAGGGGGAAAAGAGGCGTTTTTTTCAAATGGTTGTTAAGTAAATGTAATTGTGTAAATTTAACTCACTACTGCCCTCTTCTGGCATAGAATAAGACTACATGTACCTTTGGCTGTGACTTGAATGGGTTGACTTTCTGAATCATGCCTGAAAACACTCGTGGATTCTACAGACAAAAGATATTTAAGATGTTACAAAAAAGTGCTAAATTAAAAAAAAAAAATTATTCAAACTAAAAGTACAGGTTAGACATACCTGTTTGGTTTGAGGAATGTTAGTCGCTTGTGATTCTGTTGAATCATTCTTTGGTGCCTGGACAAAGAGAAATATAGAAAATTTTAATTAATTGTTCTGTTTAGTATTTTTTGGTACGTCTAAACTCTTTCAACCTCTTAAAAAGGTTCTGTTTTGCTCAAAATAGACTCTTGTGAGAGTTATTATTAGTCTGTCTACATCTCCGAAGCTCCAAATCCGTAAAATGTGATGTCCTACATTGGCAGTTTTAATGCTAACGGCTACCTTTTACCTTTTGTTCAGTAGAGATAAGCAATTTTAGGTCTGAAATCATCCAAACGATTCTAGTGAAGGTGTATTGAGTTTAAAAACACAATGCAGCACAATGAGTATTACCACATGGCATCACAAGGTGGAGGGTTTGTTGTTTGAGAGAGAACTCAGCCTAAATATGCAGGGTTTGTGTGATAAACATGTGTCAAATGAAACAAAACACAACTCCAGGGATGTCTGTGATGAGGAAACAACATTATAACACATATGGGCCCTTTAAAAAAAAAAAAAATAAAAAAAAAAAAGGTCCCAACAAAACTAATTTCTTCTCTCACTCACTGACTGATTACTACACACCAATTTCAAGTTAGTGTTTTATTACAGTCACCATTTCAAAATAATGAATATTTTTCTTGTGTTTTTGCAGTATTAAGTACTCCATACACTCTGTCCTGAAGTGTGAAATGTCTGCATGTGCTAGTCAGAGCTGGAACCCTCTGGTTGGGAAGCAAATGATCTACCACTAAGACTTGTTGTCATGTCGTACCTGTGAGGAGGACTTGAATGGATTGACCTTCTGCATCATCCCAGACATGACTCCTGGATTCTACAGCAGCGGTAACAGAAAAACATAAAACTTCACAGAGAAACTCTACTTTATTTATAGGTCAGTATAATACAAGATTTTTTTTACCTGTTTGGCAGTTTGAGGCTCATTCTCACTCTCTGGAGTTTCAACATTGTCACTTGTCATGTCATTCTTTGTATTCTTGTTGCATGAAAAACATACATTTCAACATTAACTATTTTTTGGCTCATTTTAAAAATTCATTCAAGCTCATTTTACAATATTTTCTGATCAATATTATAATGTTGTTTCCTCATTACAAACATACCTGGTGTTGTGTTATGTTTCATTCACACATCCTGCATATTTAGGTAAAGTTCACACTCCACCTTGTAATGTCATCAAGCAATACACAATGTGCTCAACTGTGTTTTTAAACTCCATAAACAGTCACTAGAATCCCTTAACTAATTTCACCACTGGAATTGCCAATCTCCACTGAACTAAAGGTAAAAGGTAAAACTTGCAAACTACCACTTCATGACATCACAAGGTGGAAGAGCACTTGGAGTTCAGGAGAAGTAGACAGACTAATAATAAAAAGGTTAAATCAAACCTGTGTAAGAACTTCAGGTATGTTTTAAATGAGTTAACTACATTCTAACATGCCTCATTTTAGAGTAATATTTGACCTTTAAATTCCCCTAAGAAGTTAAACGTATAATCAGCATAAAATATTAATTGGTTAATATTTCAAATATTTTAACTGAAATTATTAACTTTTAGAAAAATATCTGACTTATGTGAGAAAGATTTTCCTGAGTGTAGTTTGTACCTGTGTTGTCGTCTTGAATGGATTGACTTTCTGAATCACACCTTTAAACGCACCAGGGTTCTGAAATCAAAACATAAAAAAAATAATGTGGCGAAAGTGGAGCTATACATCTTAAAAGGTGCACTGTGGAACTTTTCTGGTGGCAACTTGTTTGAACACATGGAGATGTTTTGCATTGCCTAGGACCTCCCATAGTTTGGCATTAATTCTTAATATGACCTGTAACTTGGCCTGATTGTCTGTCTACATGAAAATGCTGTGTGGAACAATGTAAGTAAAGCAATAACATCTTATACATCTCATCTCCATCGAGACAAGCAGGAGACGGACCCTGCACCAGAAATGTTGCATAGTACAGCTTTAACTATGAGATCATAACCATTCTCATCATGTATTGTAAATGTAGAAATTGTTGAAAATTAGATCGTGGTTTGGTAAAATTGTTCCTGATATTTAAAAGCTCTCAGACAAATTTTAAAATATTAAAAAGAAGCAGTGGGACAAAGCAAGAACATCTCCATGGAGACCAGCAGGTGGCAGACCGTCCACCAGAGAAGTACACAGAGCAGCTTTAACAGTTGCACATGTATAAAGAAAAGGGTCTGACCTGGTTGACGTCCACTGATTTTTCCTGGTCCAAACTCTCAGAGGACGGAGCTTTAGAAACCTGTAAAAACACAACATGAAGACGACCTGGGCCCATACAAAACCATTGTGCACTTTAATGTAGGGCTGCACAGTACAATAAAGATGCTATTCAAACAACTATGTTGCAATGCAATAACAATATTATTGCAAAATACATTTACACAGAATTCCCTTGGTTAAATTTTATGGAAAAAATTCTTACTTGCTAGTCTTTGATTTCTTTAGTTTTATTGCAGTTTTGTTTATAAAATATGCTCTATTAAGAGTCTAAAAGGAGGCTGGTTTGAAAATAACAGTTTCACAGAGATTAGAAAAAAAGTGAATTAAGATTTAAGAAAAATTATAACTAAAATGTATTTTTCATTTTACTTTCAAAAACAGTACATATCAATGTCAATGTAGTATTTGTATGTATGTATTTTTTTGGCCGCATCGATTATTGTGTCAGCCAATACTGTGGTATAGATATGTTTGTAATAAAGTGTGTAGCTGTGAGAGTACAGTGTTTTACCTGTGACTGTGACGTGGACTTAAAGGGATTCACCTTATGCATCACTCCTCGAAAACCTCCTGGATTCTGCAAAAAGTCATATATTGTAAACACAGCAATTCATAATAATTACTAATTAATACTTACCACGACTCACTACTACTACTACTACTACTACTACTACTAACTCCAACTCCTACAGGATTACTCAAACATGTGTGAATGAAGCAAGCTAGCTATCAAACTAGCAAGTGGGAAACCTGACGCTCACAACGTATCATCCATAAACCTGCATGTTTAGGTCTGAAAATGATTACTTTAAACTCTAAATACACATAATAGCCTATGTGTGTCAAAATCATGTCCCAAAATATTCATAAAGAATTTATAAATTATGCAATATATTTTTATACTTTTTTTTTAATTTTTATATCCCTCTCGCCACCACGGGGTGCTGCAGCACCTCCAGCACCCTCGCTTCCTGCAGCCCCGCCTGTAACTGTCTGTCATTTCTGTCATGTGAAGTCCTGCTCAGTGACATAGATAAAAACCAGTTAAACTTGTCCAACCAAAACCACATGAATGCACTTCATGTTTGGGAGTGGTATGAACCTTATATTATTTTTTTACTTTTGAAATTTTCCATGCAAGTAGCTGTGACGGTTATGGCCTGATTTCTGTTGGTATTTGCGTGATCTTGGTCAAGTCCTGGACTTAGTTGGGAACCCAGATATTTAAGGAGACAATACCAGTCAAAAGTTTGGACACACCCTGTCATTCAATGTTTTTTTTTTTTTACTACTTTCTACATTGTTTTGGATACAGAGTGATATGAAATATACGGAATAAGAAAATAAATAAATTAATAACTAAATATTTTTTGACAAAGCAAAAAGTGGGTACTTTGAGGACGTGAATAAAAATATATAAAGTGTAGTCCCATTTTAGACCTAGTACTGGAGTAGACCTGGTTTAGCTCTTGTGGTACTTGCAACGTAATATTTTACTTACTTGATGTGAATAATTATTGTTTAATTAAATGACTAGTCAAATTTGTCTATGTGAATTACACTATCAGTTAAAGGTTTAAACACTAACTTTTTTTTTTCTAAGTAAGTAAGTAAGATATCTGGAATTATGTAACAAAGTTAAATATCTCTCATTTTTTAAAATATTTTTTACATTCAAATCCTTAAAGTAGTCACCCATTTGCTTTGCCGAAAAATACTTTTTTTCTTTACTACATACTTCCATACATCTTCCTTTATATATTTGATGTCTTCTTATATATACCTGTCGAAAGTAGTACAAATAAAAAAGAAAAAAAAAGAAAACATTGAATGGGAGGGTGTGTCCAAATTTATGACTGGAAGCATATAAATTTCAAATCAAACATTCAGTTTGTATTCCCTGTTCTCTTTGCACACACTCATGTTAGAGGCACGTCAGCATCCACCTCACTGGGATTAACATGTTATGCAAACCACATACAAAGTCTATTACATGGCCTGTCCCAGTGAGCCTTCTCACGATATTTTACCACCCCACCAATCCTAAACAATGATAACAATACAAGAACTGGATTTTTTCTATTACACTGGTTTATATAGGATTAATAGTTGAAGTAAATAAAAGTAGCACTGTGTATCTTTTCTAGTGGAGGGTCCGTCACCTGCTTGCCTTAAAGTAGATGTTGCTTTGATTGGAATGTACCAGAATAAAGCATTACACTTGTCTGTCTACACTGAGTCAAGCAGGGGACAATTTAAGGATTAGATCAGTGGAAAGGCAAGCCCACTCACAGTAAGAATTATATCTTTGTGTAATTTATTAATGCCATACTGTGAAACTTTCCACACAATAACAACATATCCAAAGAGACAAGCAGATAGCTGAACCCCACCTGTAAAGTTCCATAGCACATCTTTAAAGTTTGATCCATCATATTCAATAAATTCGTTTTTACCGGTGCTGAGGGTCCAGTGCAGTTTTCCAGTGACTCAGAAGAAGGAGCTTTGCAGACGCCAGAAGGAGGCTAAAACAAAATTAAACATATTAAAGTAAATACTGAAATTAATCACAATCAAAATCGCAATTTGGACACATTTAGCAACTCTCAAAGTCTGCTATTTTAGAAGTATCATAATTTCCTCCCAGAAGAACAAAATATCCTTCTTACTCTGCATAAAAACTGCTAACCCTGAAGTTCAGACCTGCACAAACATGTCCTGAAATGTCATTAGTTTGTCAGTTCATATTTCAATCTTTTTGTTAATTCTTCTGGAAGTGTTTGAATGTGACCTTTGATCCGAATGCTGTTATTAAAACATAAATCGCAAATCTAATTTCAATGCTTGTCAGAAAAAAGCTGTACAAAGAAGTGGATTAAGAGAGTGTGACATCACCTATAGCGTTCGGCTCCAGTCACATGAAGCTCATCGAGGCTAGCAGTTATAGGAGTGAATTTGGAGCCAATTCCCTATTAGGAACAGGAATTGACTTGCGTATAAATAGTGAAATAACAACACCAAAACCACAGAATTACCTGAGCTGATGAAGACTTGAATGGGTTAACTTTCTGCATCACTCCCATCACTCCACTCCTCTGTGTCTGTATTAGAAACAAAACAGAAAAATACATTTCAACAAACAAAAATATTAAAATAAAAAGATCTAATCATTGTAAAGCACTGTGTTGAAGGGCCCATATTATGCCATTTTATGATCTATGTTATAATGTTGTTCTCTCATCACAAATATACCTGGAGCACACACACCTTCACAAGAATCATAAGGATAGTTTGTGCCCTGGATTTAGCTATCTCTACTGAACAAAAGGTAAAAGGATGTTGTCAACTTGTAAACTCCTGAAATCAATTTATGACATCACAAGTTGGAATGGAGCATTTTGAGCTTTGGAGACGTAGACAAATAATAAATGGTTACTCAAACATGTGTGAATGAAACAAAACACAACTCCAGGTATGTTTTATTACATACAATCATTATAAAATGGCTTAAATGAGTCAAGTTTCTGTAATAGGACTTTTAAGGCATACACTTAGTCGCTGATGTGTTTAGTGGCCTGTGGCTGTTATGTCTGCTGTACATCTCCACCTTAAAACCACAGGCCACTCCTTTGAAGATAATGAGGTACAGATCTTAGCCAGAGAAATGAACTGGTTTGAGAGGGGAGTTAAAGAGAATATTTTTGTTAGGAAAACAATCCATCTTTGATCAGAAATGGAGGGCTCAGACATCATCTGTCTCCCATTTACAACTCCATCCTCAGACCTAAACAAAGAAAAGAATAGGGATAGCCAGGTCAGGCCCAGAGGTGTGAAAGCTCCATCATGGGCTTGAATGAATATGTTAATATGACCCCACACTCAGTGCAGTTCAATAGGCCTAGCTAACAAACAGAAGCTGTAATCAAGTAGGTGTGTTGGTTTCAGAGTAGTTTCAGTGTAGTTAGCTCCTCCCTGCAGGCAAATATAAGGCAGTGTCCAACAGCATCTGACCAGAACTGAAGAAGCAGCTTGGATGAGATGCGGAACGTTTTCGACCAAAATTAATTTCTGTCCAATACAAAAAATATATATTTTTCCTTTGCCATTTAGTAGCTGACTGACTCACCTGTTCAGTTGCGGTGTCTTGTTTGTGTATGCTGTGGGTGACGGGGTTCTCCAGGTCCTACAGAAAAGAAAAATATATATATATAAATAAAGCTATAGGCCACATGATTTTTAACACAAAAGGAAGAAGTAGGTATTCACAGCCAATCAACTTGATCATAGCGCTCAAAAACTGTTGACACAAGACTAGTTTTCACATGCATGCATTTTTGCAAGCTTTCACACTGGAAATGTCATGAATGTTATCAAATTTTAGTGTTATGATTACTGTGAGAAACAACACCACGATTTAAAGGGCTCATATTACTCTATTTTATGTTATAATGTTGTTTCATCATGACAAACATATCTGGGGTTGTGGTTTGTTTCATTCACACGTTTCACACACGAATCCTGCATATTTAGGCAGAGTTCTTTTTTCAAACAGGAAACACTTTTTTCTACCTTGTGATGCCATGGGGTAATACAGGAAGTGCTCCACTGCGTTTTCCATACACCTTCATGATAATCATTTGAATAATTTCAGACTTGGAATTATCAGTCTCTACTGAGCTAAAGGTTAAAGGTAGTTCTTAACTTCAAAACTATCACTACATGACATCACAAGGTGGAACAGAGCATTTTGGGCTTTGGAGATGTAGACAGACTAATAATAAAGGATTATTCAAACATGTGTGAATGAAACAAAACACAACTCTAGGTATGGTGAGGTAACAACATTATAACATGGTGAAACCAAAGTATTATTTAATTCCTGTTATCTAGGGTGAACATAGTTCCATTTGTGAAAACCCGGACACCTTACCAGGAGTGGGGGGTGGGGCCTCGACACTGAGCTACTCTCACCTCGCAACCTGTGCACATGGCCTCCCACTTGTCCCGACCGGGATGGAAAACGTAGAATTTCTTGTACAAGTCATTGCTAAATGCGCATTTGCGTTTCGGCATGTTGCAGATTGATTGTCTGTTTGTGTCTGATCGCTCCTTCTGAGTGCAGAGAGCTACAAGAGCCGCTCAATTTAATGGCCCCAATGAACTGTAATGAAAACCCAGACATTTCCATCACTAAAAAAAAAAAAAACTCGGACGCCTGGGACAGAACGCAAAAAACTGACATGTCCTGGGAGAAACAGTCATTTGGTCACTCTATGTTATCTAACCTGTTTATGAAATTAGACTTTCTGAATAAATAAATAAATAAAGGTGTACTTCTGGAATGCAGATTCAAGGAAAATGACTTAATTTTGCTTCTAAAATTGTCACAATTATAATTATTTTGGTCTTATTGTGACCTGAATAATCACGATTACTGATTGACCTAACAGTCTTAAAGGTGCACTGTGTAACTTTTTAGTTAGGGGTCTGTAACCTGCTTGTTTCTATGGATATGTCACTGCTCTGCCAGGAATGTTCCACACTATGACATTAAACAGCTTTACCTTATTCAATTACAGGATGCTCAGAAATACCTAGAAAACAGGCATTCTGACTGTGAGAGGAGCTTCCTCTCCACAGAGCTGACCTGTAACTTGGTCTGGTTTGGTCACCATGAAGATAGACAGGTTTAATACCATACCGTGAAACATTAAAGACAAAGCAATAACATCTCCATGCACCTTTAAGATCCCTTAATAATTAGATGCAGACATTTAGTGCTGGATGGATCTATATTTTGAAACTTATAGAAAAATACTGACCTGTGGAGTGGGCCGAGGAGGAACCTCTGGGGTCTGAGCTGAGGCTCGAGCTGGGGCCCGTTCCCTCCTAAACATGTTCATCCTAAAAACAAAAAATTAACTGACCCTCTGATGGATTTGAATAGGGTTTTCACAGTAACAGATTTTGAAATACAATATATTGCTGAAGAAAACATAAATAATAAATGCTAAAAAATATATATATATGCAGACACAATATCTTTAAAGTGTAATTATCCACAAAAAATATTCTAAATGTATAATATGGTTAAAAAACAATAAATACATAATACAATTAAATACTTATGTACTTAGCTGTATCTATAATAAGTCATCCAAGTTGTTTATTCCACCCATACTACTCAAATCTTTCCGTAGTACAGAAAAATGGTTTCCCTTTCAACATTTCAAGTAAAGCAAGTTCATTTTATTTTAAATTTAAAGATCTGATAATTTAAATAAATAAAATCTTCCACGTAGCCTACTATAAACGTACAGGCATATCAGTGTTGTTGTCACGTGACTGATTTGGGTCAACCCACGTGGACATAAGTCAAAATGTCCTAACCATAATACTCTATTCTACAGAGCTAGAGTGTAAAATAACACACACATAATATAAACTAGAACATGAACTACAACTGCATTACTGTTATTCAAACGTAAAACACATACTCATTGCTTTTACGTGCAGACTACTTGTTTTGGATGAGAATAGATCTGATTGTAGAAGTTAAATCGTAAAAAACAATTTCATGAAAGGTAATTACATAAAATAAAGAGAGCCGAATTGTAATATATTAGTCAAATAGTGATCATCTTTGCATAAATGAACAAACGTCCTCAGTAAGCTACTTTAAACAGCCGATCAACGTTTAATACTCTAAAATAGACACGCAGTCCGGCGAATCAACAAGCGGACGTCACTTTACGTTGTTTGCGGTGAAGCTATTCCAAGGACAAAACACTGCTTTGTTCAAGAGTATAGTTCAGGAATGTACAGTACAAAACTAGCGGAATCAGCATGAATGGGGCTTACCTTTATGTCGAGTCAAAACAAGCTCAAAATATAGGGAAAAAAAAACAACTCCAAAAAGCAGATGCGTGCCACGGTCTTTCTCTCGCCCTTCACTGAGCTTTTTCTGCCCGCATTGGAAACTTTCTAACTGAGAAAGGAGGAAAACTGGTTCGTCCAAATCTCGAGGCGGACCCTGTGTGAGTTGTGTTACTGAGTGAGCCTAAAGAAAGCTCATGTTACGGGACGTTTATTCAGGATGGACAAAAGGAGCCACGTATGAAACCAAACCAAAAACCCAGGAGCACACAGTGTTTAGATCAAAGTGATAAAAGCACCTGGAGCTCCAGGGGGCGTGGACACGTGAAGGTCACGTGCTGTGCTTCCATAAGCATGTTCAAGATCACGGGAAGAGATGTGATCTGAGCAGACCAGACGTGGTACAATATTGAAATAGGGTAGGCTACACAATTAAAAGTACTGTTCAAAATATGATTACCCAAGTAGAAGTAGGCTACGAAGTAGTACTCCTAGAAAAAGTTAAAAGTAAAAAGTACATGTGGAATCTTAGTAGGCTACTACCCCAAGTAGCCTGATTAGGCATATAGGCCTTACTAAACTGTCTGGGCGAAAAATCTGATTTATGATTTAAAGTGAATAGGTCCTTACCTAAAAAACTGTTAAATCCACAGTAACGTATTAGACTAAAATACACAATAAAATGAAATGATGCACTTTTTGTTTGTTTTTTGTTGGCCATAAGTAGCCTATCATATCCATTTCCATAGAGAATTTAACTTTGTACTTCTGTGAAAACAAATCATGCAGGCCATGTTCCACCTCCAGGAAGACATACTGTGCCTTTAGATAAAAGATAGACCTCAAGTATTAGAATAACTAAACCATATTTGAAGGAGTGGTGCACAAAACCACAAATGCTTAAATAATTTCCTGTCGTCAACATCAAGTTGTTGTCACTTGTAGAGTTACTCACAGTGGGAGTAACAAAAACATTTACTCAAATAAGAAATAGGCAATGACAAATATAGCAAAAATTCTATTCGTTTTTTTAGTCAAAAAAGGGGGAGGGGGCATAAGTTATGTTAAATGGAGAAGATTACACCCAGGTTGCTCAATAATTGATCTCAAGAGCTTTGTTGACATAACGTTCTATTCACAGAGACTTCCCATAAAGCTTATGGGCAAACACTCCATAATTACAATAACAGATCACTCTTCTGCTAATATGTTCAACTTCCTATATTTTATTTCCTTTATGTTTAACTGTTGTTTAGGATGAGGTCAGTATAAAATAAAATTCTAAAGGTTTATGTCTACAAGTAATGTTACTGTTTTATTTGGTCAAGGCTTTTAAATAGGTGAAAACAATTATTAATTTGTTCTCATTCAGAATAAGCAAAAAAGCGTCTTCCTCACTTCAACCAGAAGAGGGCAGTAAAGATAGGAAAACCGTCCAACTGACCTTTTTATTTTTTATTTTTTAGTAGTACTGTAAAAATAAGCTTCAAATAAGTTGACATTTTAAAATAATTTTTTACTATGATGACAGAACAAAAATGCAGTGTTATTAAATTGAAAGGCTTGGGTTATTTAGACCAGCGTTTCCCAAACTTTTTTCTGGGGATCCTTATTATATTAAAAGTCACAAACCTTCGTGACCCAAGTCAATTGACATTATTCCTATATCACAAAATAAAGGTGGATTTGACCATTATTGAACATTAATGAGAATATTTCATTGTTGACTGAGTGATCTTGTCTCCCTGAACAATTAGTATTACTCAAGTTTTAAACAATGAAACAGCAATTGAACCAGCAATAAAAGGATCTATAAGTCACCTATTTGGACATTAAATGTAGCCCATTTCTTTTTCTTTTCAACATTCAGTTGAACCAGCAATATTGGAACAAAATAGTCAATAAAATAATTACAAAAAGATTATACAAAACATGGCTTAACATTTCAACATGTGTCAGAAGTGTATATTGCAGACCTACATGCATATCATGACACAGCGACCAAAAAATCAGATATTGCTTCTAAAAGTCAAACAAATATCGGAACATGAAATTTTTAATAACATTCTAATCTGAACGGTGGTTATAAGTGTGCATTGCATCTCCACTGGTCCTTTATCTACTGAAGTAAACAAGAAGTTAGAAGTTAAAAATCTAGCACTACTGATTTAAAGGTGCACTATAACTTTCCTGTTTGAGAGTCCATCAAGTTTAATGTCATTAAGTAGTAGAAATTTAAATATTGCATGACTGGTGTGATAAAATAAACTTCATACCTTCAAAAACGGTTAAAAAATTAAAAATAAGGTAAGTATAAAAGCTTCATAGGACAAAAGCAGAATTACATTAAGAATTAGACTTTATTCACAATGATTTATAGTTTATATGCACGTTCTTATAATATACACACATATACAATAGTTCTTAATTTTTGTAAATATTGTGGCAAATTAAAACTTTTTGTTTTGTTTTGGCAATGATTTACAAAAGTATTATTGTAATGTTAACATTCACATGTATTATTCATTTAGTCTTCATTATCTACATTACTGACAAAGATACACAACATTTGATCCTTCTGCAAATAGTAATAAAAAAGTTTAGATTAAATTGTGTGGGAGGTGTATAGCTTTGTGTGCTTTTGAGTGTGGAGAGGGGTGGGGTGAGGGTGGGTTTTGTGTATTTTTATTTTTGTTTTGTAATCGTATGTCAAAATTGAAAAAATAAATAAATAAAAAAACACACACAAAAAAATAATAATAAAACAAAAAAAATGTGTGGGAAGAATGGGTGTTAGAAAAAAAATGCTGTACCAAATGGTCCATAACATCAATACCACATGTTGACATTTAACTTTACAAAAGTAACAGCTGGTGTTTCCTAAATGTGCACTGGCATTGATCGAATTAAGTTATGTAATTCGCCAAGACAACTAGCAAAAAAAAATAAAATAAAATAAAAGAATTGTGATACAGACACACAAATGGTCTGTATAGTACTGAAAATAAATAAAATAAATAAAAAAAACTGTTCATATTTGATGCTTCATTGTACATCAGGTTTGTGAAATTGTAGTGCATGGTTTTGTATCAAGCTTTTGTAGAAAATGAGTGACACAGGCTTATGGTTTGAGCTGTGAACAGAATCGTGCAGCTAACCATAAAGACAATTTAAATAATGCTCTGGAGAGATCGCTGGATTATTCAAACAGGTAGGATGACATAAAAATAAAACCTCTTCAGGCATGTTTTAATGAGGGAACATTATTATAACATGGTACTAAGCCCCCCAAAAGCTGATTTTGCATAATACCCCCACTTTAGCGCGTTATCAGCGGCATCCATATCATGATTTTTATATATTTGTACATTTTAGTGTGACTCTGCAAAAATCCCATACAGATAAAATAAAAGTAAATGTCAGTAACTGTAACTGTACCTGGGCACAATGTACACAGCCAATGACCTATTGTAAACCAGCATGTAGGCCTGTCACAAAAATAATTACTATACCGACTTATCATTCAATATATATTGCATGTAATTTTTTTAGTTTTGTTATTTCTTGTATTATCATAAGACTAGAGCAGATGAGGGTTTCTAGAGTAATTTCTATTACTTATTATAGATACAAATTAATTAGCGTTACATTCTTCACTGCAGTTCATGTTTTTTTTTTTTTATAAGAATGTCCATTTTTGCATCAGTGGCTTAAAGGTGCATTATGTAACTTTTCGTGTGGAGCTTTATTGCTTTGTCTCAAATATTTTACAGTGCAGTATTAAACTTTTCTATATTTATGAAGACCAAATCAGACCAAGTTAGAGGTCAGATATGTGGCTCACAGTCAGAATGTCTGTTTTTGTAGGTATTTTTGAGCTATATAATCACCTGAAATTTTATAAAAGTAAGGTCAAGCTGTTTAATGTCATAATGTGGAACATTCCGGGCAGTTCAATGACATATTCTTAGACACAAGCAGGTAAGAAACAACCTAAAAGTAACCAACTAAAACGTGACACCTTTAAATCAGTTTCACGGACGATATTTTTGGGCCGATATATATGGCAGATTTTGGTCATTTCCCCCATATTATATAAATTTAATTTTCAATAAACTTATCCACAATCCTGTTTCATTACAAACTGGACATTTCTGCAAACAAACTGTTCAGATACCAAATACCGGCCTGTGCTGGAAATTTAAAGGTGCATTGTGTAACTTTTCTGGTGGAAGGTCAGTCACCTGCTTGTTTCTATGGATGTCACTGCTCTGCCTGGAATGTTCCACAGTCTCTCCTGTATATTTATTCAATTATGGTTTTATAATTCAAAAATACAGAGAAAAACAGACATTCTGACTGTGAGTGGGGTTGCCTTTCCACGGATCTGACCTGTAACATGGTCTGGTTCAGTCTCCATGAAGATAGAAAGGTTTGACGCCATACTGTGAAACATTCCAGACAAAGCAATAACATTTCCATGGAGAAAAGCATTTGTCGGACCCTCCACCAGAAAAGTTACACAATGTACCTTTAAGGCTGATAGTCGATGTGCTAAAAAGTGCAAATATTGTGACAGGCCGACTAAGATATCCTATACCTCTCCTATAGCGTCATGCAGCTCCTCTCTGACCGCATTCAGTTCTACAATACAGTCATTTAACACACTGGCCACGTCTTTGATCTGACCCACAATCTCCTTCTTGCAGCCTTTCTTCAGCTCACGTGTTCCATCTTTCAGGAAGTATTTGTCCATTCCCTGAAACAAGCTCTGCACCGTGGTAACCGCCGAGTCGATGAAGTCCGTGGCCTTCATCACCGGAGTGTCCACCAAACTGATCATCTGAACGTCCCTCCTCACCTCCCAGTCTTGAGAGTAATGCTGCGTCCCGGAGCGGAGGAACGGATGTCCACGGAGCTTATACAGACCAGTGTTGGAGAAGTGCAAGATCTTTGAGAGCTCCATCAGGTGGACTTCATTATCAAGAAGCAATGCCTCCACCTAAATAACACAGGAGCGGAGTTAATCACCACTTCATTTTTGCACTGTTCCTCATTACCCACCTCTTGTACTAGTCCATCAAAAATAATTAGAATATCATGAAAAAGTTCAATATTTTTGTCACTCATTTCAGAACTTCAAATGCAGATATTATATAGACTCATGACACAGGGAGTGAAATAATATATGGGTTTGACTTTCTGAAATAAGTGACAATAAATATTGAACATTTTCATGATATTCTAATGTAATTAACAAGTACATATACATTTTATATAACTATATTTCTATATTTTATTTTTACTTGTACATATACATTTATATAACAGTGCCTTATTTGACACTAGTCTCTTGCTATTTTTGCCACTTATTTTGAATTTAATATTACAATTTATATTTTTGCTCTTTGTTATCATAATATATCGTGATCTGAGCTACTGTGTCCACATAAACTTTATTTATGCACAAGAGAAATTATCTAAGTCAGACAGTGAGAACAAGAGCACAGCATTTCTTCTGTTGCTTATTGTTGTAAAGGTTGTGTTTCTGAAATATAACTTTATGTGCAATTTGCAGAAAACAATGTTAATCTTCTGGTTTTACATCCATTTAACTGGTGACAATCGTACCCATGTATGAATACTGGCACAGATTTTCACAGAAATTATACAAACAAAATCACAAGAGTTAATTTGCTCTGACAAAGAAGTTGAACTTTGTGCCAGTTTTATTTCATGTGGGTAGGCCCAGTAATTACAGAGGTATGCACCATAAACCAGGTCAAAACACTTTTGAAAGATTAAAATTTAATTCTACCAGAGACCAATCCTCCAGCTCAGTGTTAAGCTATGGGCAACCTCTGTGTTTCAGAATAATGAAAACATTAGAGCCATTGTCATAGTGATCAACAATTAAAACATAAATCGTATCTTTTGAATGGGGAAAAAGTCATTCAAAAAGTTGCATTTAAGTTGAAAGGAAGCTGAAACCTTACCTTCTTCCTGTCATTTGCGTTGTTCACGTTGTCTGAAATGGCTGCAGAGGCTGAGGTGATCCCTCCAGCTGTGGCCACGCCCACCCCCACTGCCGTGACGACCAGCGATGCTCCAAATGTGACCGGGGCCAGGGCCAGTCCAGCGATGGCGGCCACCCCCCCAACGGCTGTGGTGGTGCCCCCTGTGATGCCTGCCAACAGGGACATCAACATGTGTTAAGTGTTAATGCTAATGTGCACTTCCTGTTTCTCAGAAAATAACATGATTTAGGTGCAGACTGTACACAGCTCAAATTATACTGACCTCAATATTGAACTTATAAAACATGTCTGTACTGTGGAAAGTCAAATTTAGCTAAAATACATGGGAAAAAAATTGGGTACAGCCCCTTTAAAGCAGACCTATTATTCCAAGTTGAATTTTCATTTTCATAACATTGTGTCATGATTATAACTATATACCAGAAAAGTCTTAAGATATTACATGAATTCTAAATAGGCTAAATGAATAGAGAGCTGTGTACCTGCGATCCTGGCTTTGCTGTGGAAGGTGCTGATGTCGTCTGCAATGGTGTGAAGGGAAATCACAGACTGCCACAGGGTCTCAGCTCGCTCCATAAATACTTTGTTAAACAGACGCAGGCCACGCCGAACTTTGTCTGCCAGAATGGAGAAAGACCTGAGGTGGGAAGAGAGGAGAGTCAGTGTGAGCCACGTGTGAGACTAACAGTGGAAAGAGGCCAATAGGTTTATAACATTTAATACAGATGGGGGCAGCTAAAATTAATATTGTTAAAATGCTGATTTTTGTTTTAACGCAGTGAGTTTTGATATCAACAGAATAATAGAAATGTCCAGGTTCAACATTTGTCAATTTACCTAAGTAAGTGCCATTTCATTTTTATGTAAATCTGGCCCTTGTCCCCATCTGGGAGGAAGACATCATCAATTCAATAGTGGAATTGTTTCACTTTACTGTGATCTACACGCCTGTGATTTGCTCTTATATAGAGAAGTGTGGATTTTGTATCTGTCAGGCATGGTAATAAGTAGCTGTTAATGTAACACAGTGTGTGTTAAGAATGATTTTTAATAAAAACTGTCTCAAGAATTTAAAGAAATTCATATTTCATCAACTAGGATGGAGCGCTGATCAGACAAAACACACTCAAATAACATACAAGTATTCTAGTTACTTGGACATTTTTCTGATAGTTACAATTATGCTGACATTCTAGGGAACATAACATAACCATGGAGGTAGTGTAGTTTTTCCACCAGAAAAAATACGCAGTGCACCTTTAAAAGGTCCTATATTACACAAAATGGATTTTTGAGAGCTTTAAGCCGTGTTATAATGTTGTTATCTCCTCAAAAACATACCTGGAGTTTATTTTTAGTCTGTCTACATCTCCAAAGCTCAAAATGCTCTGTCCCACCTTGTGATGTCATGTAATTATAGTTTTCCAGGTAACAGCAATCTTTTATTTTTAGTGCAGTAGAGATTGATATTCTGTCTGAAATTATCCATATGATTCTTGTGAAAGTATGTAGAGTTTAAAAACACAAAAGCACTTCCTATATTACCACATAGCATCACAAAGTGGAACAGAGATTTCTGTTTGAGAGAAGAGGCCAGCCTTAATATGCAAGATGTGTGTGTTAAACATGTGTGAATGAAACAAAACACAACTCTGGGTATGTTTTAGATGAGGAAACATAACATAACATAGATCAGAAAACAGACTAACATGGGGACTTTAAAGAAGTAACTCATATTTCATCCATTAGGAAGCACTGCTATCAGACAAAACACACTCATAAAAGACGTATTGTAGTCATTTGGACATTATTCATCATGTTATGTTTGCCATTCCAAAGAACATAACATAACCATGGGGGTGGTGAAGCATTTCCATCAGAAAAGTTATACAGTGCACCTTTAAGTTTCACTTTAATTTTCATGTAATCTGTGCTGTATTTTACATACTTGGACTCATCCTCTTGTAGAGCCATTTCTTCTTCATCTGACGGCACCTCGTCCCATTCTGAAACATTAAAATGTCAAATTTTATAGAAAATACAATTGCTCATTTAAAAAAAAAAAATTATTTATTGGACTCACGTTCAACAGTGTTCCACCACTCCATCAAACTGTCCGTGTCCTGAAACCAAAACACATGAGATACATTTTTCTTGTTGATATATCAAAATTTGATTTGATTTTTTAGTTTTTTGCTTTGTTCTGTTTTCTCACTGACCCCATCTGCATCTCCTTCGTCAAAGTCATCCATGGCACGTTTGTCCTTTTCAGCAGCCATAAACTCCGCCTAAAAATATATATTGTAAAAACTTTAAAAAATATTTCTATAGACTTGTTATATTTAAGTGAGGAAAGGATTCAAATTCACAGAGCTAATACAAATATGCCCTAAAACCCTTATATTCCAGTCTTCTCTCAAATGTTTAAATCTGCATTATAAGAACAATATAAATAGTGTATTATAAACTTAATCCAAATTTGAACTACGACTGAAAGTTTAATCTCAATCTGAATGGACACCATTGGCAAATCACAAAAGCATAAATTCTTAAAGTACCATTGTTCCCTCCATAAACAAAATCTCTTTTCTTATTCTGCATAAAAACTGCTAACCCTGTAGTTTAGATCTGTATAAACATGTCCTGAATGTGATTCTTGCATTAGTTTGCAAGTTCATATTTCAGTCTTTTTGTCAACTCTTCTGGACGTGTTTAAAATGTGAACTTTGAACTGAATCCTGTTATTAAATCTTACATCGAGACTTAGTTCTTGTCTGTTATGATAGAAACATATTTTTAGAGGAGGTGGTCATTTAGACTTAAACAAATGATACTGATCCACAAGTGAAATTATGAAATAATTTGAAATTATTACATTATAATAACAAAGAACAAAAATATAAATGGGAATAAATTATAAATCGCTCTCTCTTGCATGAAAATGTTTGTTTTATATCTGTTTGTAATGTTTTTTAATTGTATTTGCAAAAGAAATAAAAAAAAAGAATAATTTAATTTGATATTTTTCCCTAATTTGAGAATTTAACCTGAAATCATTATGCAGTCACACTTTATTCACACTATCATAGCCTACTGCACAATTTTTATTTAATTATTTTTTGTATCCGTTTGTAATGCTTTTTTACTTATATAATCTAATATAATTCACTTGCAATGCTTGTCAGGAAAATAGCAATTAGATATTTTTCTGAAATCAATCAGACTTAATTTGAAAACTAATTGAAATCATTATCCTGTCACACTTTCTTCAGAAAACAATAATAACCTACGTCAATGGATCTAGCCTATTTTGATTTATTATTGTTACTCATTTCGGTACGCTTTGTTTTTCTCATTGGCTGGTTTAGTTCAGTTTGTTCTTCTCATGCGTTGGTGTGGTATGTGGCTGAACCAGTACTTTCACATGTCAAAGGAATGTGCCCATTGATAAGGTGACCAGAACAGTGTAGTACTATTCCAATGGAAATGTGATCTGAAGTAGATAAACGACTTAAAGGGCCCATATTATCCAGTGATCAATTATAATGTTGTTTCCTCATCACTAACATACCTGCAGTTGTGTTTTATTTCACCTTTAACACACAAGCCCGAAACAAGAGTTCTTCTCTCAAACAGAAAACACTCTGTTCCACTTTGTGATGTCATGCCATACAGGAAGTGATTCACTATGTTTTAAAACTCCATACACCTTCATTAAAATCATTTGGATACTATGAGCCCTGGAAATGCCAATCTCAACTGGACAAAAGGTTAATGGTAGCTGACATCACAAGGTGGAACAGAACATTTTGAGCTCTGGATATAGACAGATTAATAATGCAGGATTATTTAGGTATGTTTTTGATGAGGTAACAGCATTATTACATCGCTTAATGCTCACAAGAGGCTATTTTGCATAATATAGGACCTTTAAAGTAGCACTATGTAACTTTTCTAGTAGAGGGTCTGTCACCTGGCTGTGTCTATGGAGATGCTATTGCTTTGCCTGGAATGTTCCACAGTCTGGCATTAAGCATGCCTATCTCCACAAAAACAAGCAGGTGAAGCCACCAGGCCAAGTTATATGTATATCTATGGAGAGGCAGCGCCCTCACAGTAAGATGTTTTTAACTAATAAAAACACCTGAAAATTAATAAATGCTAGATTGTCAAGTTTAATGCTATACTGTGGAAAATTCAAGGGAACAAACAAAAAACTGCCATAAAAAGAAAAGTTACACCTTGAAAATCATGTTTAAGAAATTTTACTGGAAATCTACCAGTCATGTATTTTGCTATATAGTATTTTTGTTTATTTTTGGGTTACTCTGATTTTGTGAATAGTGAATTATCAGTATCCACCTCAAAACTACAGGTTACCAGCTAAACAGATCCTCACCCTTGCTGCCTCTGACATGTAGTCACTAGATGTTGCTCCTGGAGGGTCTTCACTAAGGAGATCCATGGACTTGCTCTGAATAATTTACATAGATTATTTAATTCATTAAAACATTTTAAAATCATGATGTAGTAAGCAGAATGACTCACCTTGGTTTTAAGCTTCTTAAAGGCTTTGATTTTGAAAGGCTTTTTCTGTGGACACACAATTACAATTTATTCTGTGATGAATTTAATATTTTGGATCAATCACAATTTTCGGAATAGGCAGTAGACGTCTCCAAGTCCCAATAAAAGACAGCCAAGTCTAAGTTTAATGGCAGTTACAAGTCATGTCTCAAGTAGGGTTGTCAAAAGTATCGAAAATTAGATAATACTAAAACTAGTATTAAAACTAGATACTCATTTCAGTAGGTATCAATACTAAAAAAGTCACATTCACAGGTCAGAAATAAAACAGTTCTGAATAGCTTTAGAATGATCTTGAGCTGTATCAGAACAAGAAGCACAAGAGCACATAGACGAGTATACACCTATGGATGACGATGGAACATACCCGGACGACTGAGGGATTACACACATATAACATCACATAGTAATATAAAAGAAAATACTTTGCTTTAATGTTGAAACAGACATTCTATTGTCTCGATTAAAAGTTTTTTTTAATTAACGTTCTCTATTCTTAGATCAAAATCAGTACCATGACAACACTTGTCTCAATGACTAGTGCATCCAATAGAGAAGAGTGTTTTTGTTATCTTCAGTCACAGAGCTACACATCCAAACAAAGTCTCAAATATTATACCTCTGCCTCTATTAAAAATACCTAACTGAACAGTGAAAGAAGTGGATCTTGATTTGAATAAAGTTATTATTTACATAGCCCTAGTTCATGCTGAGTTTATCTGATGTGTTTCTATGGTGTTTTACCTGCTCACGGGCGTCAAACTCATCCTCTTCATAGTAGTTCATCTCAGTTGGACTCAGAGCCTGTTTCCCTTTAAGAGCATCAATATCTTCAAATTCAAATTCACCCTGTCAGAAAAATAAATTAAAAAAACATATTTTTACAGTATAATACTGTTTTATAAATTGTGAATATTTGTTATAATCTTACATTATAGTCCTGCTGAGGAGAGCTGAGGTCAGTTTCATAATCCTCTTCGTATCCTTTCAGGCTAGTGGGTGAGAGCGTTTTGGACTTTTTTAAATATGCCCCATTCATATTACCAGCCTGAGAAATTAAACAAATTAACATTGAAATCACATCAAGTTCACAGCAGTCACTAATAATAAAAGTTTGAAAGCAACAAGTAATATTTTAGAGAAATTGTACCTTGTTTAGGGGATGAAGATTTTGACTTTTCATTTCTTCCAGTCCATCATCCTAAAGGGCATATTACATCAACTGATTACAAAATTTGCATTTGATTACAAAAAATATATAATTCTTAGCCTATTTAATCTTATATTTTATCCATTTTTACTTTTGTATGTCATTTTATCATGTCTTTTATTCCATATTCCATGTTTGCATTAAAGGTGCATTGTGTAACTTTTGTAGTGGAGAGTCCGTCAGATGCTTTTCTCCATGGAAATGTTGTTGGTCTGTCTGGAACATTTCACAGTATGATATTAAACTTTTCTATCTTCATGGAAACCAAACCAGACCAAGTTAAAGGTCAGATCAGTGGAGAGGCAACACTGCTCACAGTCAGTGTGCTTGTTTTTCTAGATATTTTTGAGTTATAATACTGCGTCATACTGTGGAACATTCCACTCGGAGCAATGACATCGGAAAAAGTTTGCATAAAGTTACATAGTGCACCTTTAAGTCTGTGAATCCTGTTCAGACAATGACAATAAAAATAAATCTGACTTTCATTTGAAAACATGTGGTAATCTGAGGAGATTTCCTTTTGGATACTGCTATTCAAAACTACAAGATGAAAAATGGCCATGGTGAAAGTGTAGGAGTAAAACAATAATTAAAGTTTATTAAATAAGGTGCAAATATATATATATATATATATATATATATATATATATATATATATATATATATATATGCAGATTTGCATGTTATATTTATAAAATATATTTGAAAAATAATACCATAGACTTTGACCGTGTGGAGAAGTTAGTATGTGTGCCAAACAAGTCCTCCTAAGATAAAAGATAAGACATGTTGCAACAGTGTGAAGAAAACAATACCAGAAATAGTTTTCATATAAAAATAAAATTACTTAAATATTTTACCTTTGAACCTTTCTGAGGTGTGTATCCATGTGCTCCTTTTGGCTCACCGTCACCATTCTAAAAATAGTACAAAAAAGATTATTTCAGCTTACGCATAAACAGAAAAAAATAAAATGCCACTGGTTTTAGCCAATGTTGCTTATTTAAAAGGTACAGTATAGAACTTTTTGGAGGTGACCTGCATGATTCCATCCAAAGTTAAAACCACACTTCAGAACATTCTCTATGCAGATAGATAGGTTTTATGCCATACTGTGGAATATTATAGCCAAAGGAACATTTTCATGGAAACAAGCAGGATGAGGCCCTCCTCCTCCAGGTCAAATAAGAGTCAGGTTTGTGGAGATACAAGCCTGCTCAGAGTAAGCATGCATGTTTTGCCAATTTTTTTCATGCAATAAACACAATCAAAAGAGAAAAAATGCCTTTACTGTAGTCCATTTCTACAAGGTTCAGTGAATACCTTGTTATGGCCAAATCCTATATTGGGCAGAAATTTTAAACTCTTCAATTTCCTGGATTTCTTCTGAAAAAACAAGAAAAAGAAGTAATAGTTTAACAAGATTTCTGTCTCACCGACTTTGTTTGGTATTTACAAGAAAATACTCACAGATTCAAAGTCATCTTCTGTTTCTGCATCTATCATGGCTCCCTGTCAGTAAAAACACAAAATATCATACTTGTGTAACTGTACATTAAAGGTGCACTATTTAACTTTTCTGGTAGAGGGTTCGCCACCCGCATGTCTCATAGAAATACAAGTTTAATACCATACTGTGGAACATATAAGGAAAAGCAATAACACTTCCATGGGAATAAGCAGGTGGCAAATGATTCTCCACACAAAAAGTTACATTGTGTCTTTAAATAATTACTTCTTTCATGTACAAGTTTTATTAAATTAAAATAACAAAATAAGTTACCTCTGAGTGGCGTCTGAATGAATCCTTTATGCTCTTTTTAAACTCAGGAGTCTGTTGTGAAATAAATAACAGCATATTCTAAATATAGCATTAAATTATTCCACCTATGAATATAACTTATGTTGTGTTACCTTGGATTCGTGAGGCACATTTCCGTTCATGTGTTTTTGGTCAGAGAGAACAGCTGCAGCTGATGATCTCCTCAATATACTGTTCACTTTATCTTTAAAATGGGGTTTCTGAAATTTTTAAAAATTTATATATTATCACTCTAGAACTTTTCTAGGACAGATCGGTCAATATTTGAGGACAGTTTACTATTCAGGAGGTATAATTTTTGTTTTAAGTTGTTAATTGCCATGACAACAGTGCTTATTTTCCATACTCTGTCTTGGATTCTAACTGCACTGGTTAATGTGGATCATCCATGGGATTCAAATACTTTACCTTGTAGTCCACCCACTGGTCTGGATCTTCTTTATCGTCTTTCCTAAATTCTTGAGAAGAATAAGGACTGTCTGTGAAATACTCCTAAAAACACAAATATACTGTGGTTATTCTAAACAGCACGATAAAAAAAAAAAAAAAAGATTATAGATTTTTGAATAATGTTAATATTGATGGATTGTTACCCTAGATGATTTTCGTGAAGATGTCCTACTTCTGCTTGAGGAACACTCATCAGAAAACCGGTCCTATAAAATGAAGTCATCTCATCAAAGAAGGTTTTACAACATTTAAACACTGAGCCTAATTATATATTTGAAATAATGCTAATTGTTTTAATAACTGGGCCACTGATTAAGTGCTTGAGAGTTTTCGTTAACAATCTCTTACATTCTGTGATTATGTTAAGCTTTAAAGCAACATTTATTTACAATGTGAAATTAAAACCCTTTCATATTAATAAGCTCATATAAGTAGCAGTAGTTAAATCAGTTTTACTTGATTAGTGATTATTATTAAAAAGTAAAAAGAAAGAAAACTGTTTTTGTACTGCATGTGCCACACAACACTGTTACCTTTGAGTCTCTTCTGGACCCTATGGTTAAGCTGAACTTCCTGTCCTTTTTCTGTGAAACATTTTGTGTTAGAAGTTTGCGAAATAAAAAGAAAATTATGACAAAATTTTTTCAGACTCACCTTTGTACTGCTGCCTAGTTCATCAAGATCTTCATTGTCTGAGTCTGTTTTGTTCTGGAATAGACGAGTAAAGTTAAATAAATAGATACAGATATATTTTCTTAATCCCGTAGGAAATTTCAATTTTCAAAAAAAAGTTAAGTTGGTGTGTTACCATTAGTGACTCTCTGCGGAGTCTCAATGTGCCACGCTACAAGAAAAACATCTGTATTAACATCCATGATTAATAAATGCTCAAACTGGTTGTAAAAGTTGTCTTTACTGGTTTAAAGTCGGGTTGGACCTCAGGACTGTCCTCAGGCCAGTCTTCAACACAGTGCTCCTGTTTCCCAATTTACAAAATATTTGAATTAGTTCAAATCAAAGCATAAACTGTGGCTAAAATAAATTTCGTTATTTAAACGTACCTGACCAATGAGAAGGATGTTTTCAAAAGCAACATAATCACTTGGATCCACTACTTTGTCCTGTTTTAAATTAGGAAAAAGATAAAATGAGAATAAAGTAAATTTTCACAGGTCCATTCAAAGTGGACACATTTACATGGCCAGTCAAATCAGATAAGAATAATCATATATTCCAATAATTAGATCTGATTTTTGGTGTGTGTTTACCTCATCAGAAAGAAATCAGATTACGCACATCAGATGTAACTGTTTACATTACATTTCAATGATCTCATCACTCCAGAAATCAGATTATGATCAGATTTATGGTGTGAATGTAAATGTTCTGCTGTTTCTGAGTATGAGGACTAGGGCTGAACACTGGGGAAACATTTTTTTGATTTTTCTGATTGGATTTGTGATTCATAGGATTCTATTCACCTTAAAAAAATAAAATAAAATTTAAGATGAACTGAAAAACTAATGCAACAATCACAATTCAGAACATGTTGAAGATCGAAACTACAGGGTTAGCGGATTTATGCAGAATAAGATTTAATATATTTTGTTGTTTTGGAGGAAATTATGGTGCTTCAGATCTGTACAAAACTTGCTCTGAATGTGATTCTTGTTTGTCAGTTCATATTTCAGTTTTTCTGGCAATTCTCCTGGACCTATTTAAAATGTGAACTTTGAACTGAATCATATTAAGAAAATGGATACAGCTTCCCAAATGGTGCAGGCCTATAAACAAACATGTATATTTTGCATAGTGCCTTACTGTATCCTTGTGTTTGCGGCGGATGACTGGTTTCTGGAGCACAGGCTTTTTAAAGGTGAGCTTCGGGGACAGTTTGGGGGCTGGAGGTTTGGGAGGTTTGCGGGCAGCGGGTTCTGGGGACTTCATTGCTTCACCTGGTTCAGACACATCCTAAAACAAGGAAAATAAATTACCACATGAGCTGGGATCGAACATAGCGTCATGCTGCACCCTGCTCGTCTCTCTTGTGATAAGTATTTCATTTACACTGTGGAACATTCTAGATAAAGCAGTAACATTTCCATGGAGACAAACAGCTGGCAAAACCTTCACTAGAAATGTTACACAGTGCACTGTTAAAGAAAAAGAAGTTAATGTATGAAAAAAAAGACAAAATAACCACACCTAGTGAAAGATACTCACTTGTGTTACCGAAGCAGGCAGAGCAGGCAGAACAGGAGGGGAGGGTCTCTGGGGTTTGGGAGGTTTTATGGGAGGGGTTGGTTTGGGGCTGCTGGGGCTTGTGGGGCTTGTGGGGCTAAGAGGGGTATTAGGGGAGTTAGGGGAGTTGGGGGAGTTGGGGGTATTGGGTGTGTTGGAGGTGTTGGAGGTGTTGGAGGTGACGGAGGGTCTGGAGCGTCTGATCCGAGGGAGCGGTTTAGGAGGACGTCTGAAGTTCGTTACCTGGAGAGAAACAAAGGACAAATGTGAAATTGTGTGTGATTTTAAAGGTTCAGCATTTGCCATCAGCCAGCCTGATGTCTTATGATATTATTTGTTTGCCTGGAATGTTGATTGTTGACATGTCATTAAACTTAATTAATCCAATTAGAGGTGTAAAATTTTTATTGTGAGGTTATCTCTCTACAGATCTGACCTAAAACTTGGCCTATATAGCATAACCTGCTTGTGTTTATGGCAATAGATAAAGGCCGCCGCACACTACAGGATCTTTCAGTCTTAAACATTTTTTAAATGTGCGATAAAAAGTGCACATCACAGACATGAGGAGAAACGTATGAGATTCTAAATCTGCAGTGACAAAGACTGCAGTGGGATATGTCTGCGGACCATACAGTCCCTGACAAAAGTGTTGTCGCTTATCCATTTTGTAGAAACAAAAGCTTATAACTTGACTTTAAATTAATCGATTGGTTTTAGAAATGTCTCATATGAAAGCTAAAACCCTCCCAAATTATGCTCAATAAACTAAAATAAATTAGCTTCACTGAAAAAAGATTGATCATTTAATGAACACAGAAAGGTCAGATTTTGGCAAGACAAAAGTTTTGTCGCCTACAGAAAATTGAACAAATAATTTACTTCAAATACAAAAATATGTTGCATAACGTCAGTGAATTAAGTAGTGGTGCTGTGAGATCCATATTTAATATCTTGTATGACTTCCATGAGCTTGAAGGACACATCCATGCGGTTCCAACAATGATTCATACAATTTGTTGATGTAGTCATCAGGAATAGCAAAGAAAGCGTCTTACATGCCTCCCAGAGTTCATCAAGATTCTTTGGTTTTGCCTTCCATGCTTCCTTCTTTCATTCTACCCCAGACATGCTCAATGATGTTCATGTCTGGTGACTGGGCTGGCCAGTCCTGGAGCACCTTGATCTTCTGCACCTTGAGAAACTTTGATGTCGAGATAGAATTATGCGATGGAGCACCATCCTGCTGCAAAATTTGACCCCTTTTATGGTTGGGAATGTAAGAGGTAGCTAATACTTCTTGATATTTTTAGGTTATTGATATTTGCCTTCCACCCTGCAAATGTCTCGCACACTCCCATACTGGATGTAACCCCAGACCATGATTTTTCTGCCACCAAACTTAACTGTTTTCTGGGTGAATCTTGGATCCATGTAGGCTCCAGTAGGTCTCCTGCAATATTTGTGGCAACTGTGATGTAATTCAACCGAGGATTCATCTGAGAAATCCACCTTCTGCCACTTTTCCAGTGTCCATCCTTTTAGCAGGCTGTGGGCCTTGGCAAATGCCACACGGTTTTTTTTAATTGCCTTTTGTTTAGTGCTGGTTTCTGTGCACTGATTCGACCATGGAGGCCATTTCGAGACAGAATTCTACAAACTGTTCTGTTTGACACAGGGACTTGAGGTGACCAGGCCTGGTGGAGCTCTGCTGCAGTGGAAAAGGGGCTGGCCTTGATTTTTTGAATCAACAAACGGTCCTCCCGAGCAGTTGTCTTGCGGGGTCTGCCGGACCTGGGCTTGTCAAAAACATCTCCAGTCATTTCAGATCTTTTTCTTATTCTTTGTACTTGACGCTGAGACACATTGAAGGTGTCAGCACCTCAGCAGTGGATCTGGTCTTCAGCCTCTTGATAATTAACGTTTGGTCTCAGGGTGGATCTTAGGCATGTTGTCAGAGGTCAAGTTGCAGTTGATGTGAAGGTCTGGTGTGCTGGGGTTCTTTTTATACACACCCACTAATTGATTGATCAGTAACTGATCACAGGTGAGGCTGTAATCTAGGATTGGGTGCATCATATGACAAGGCAACAAGACTTTTGTCTTGCCAAAATCTGACCTTTCTGTGTTCATTAAATGATCAATCTTTTTTTCAGTGAAGCAATTTTTTTTTAGTATATTGAGCATAATTTGGGAGGGTTTTAGCTTTCATATGAGACATTTCTAAAACCAATCGATTAATTTAAAGTCAAGTTATAAGCTTTTGTTTCTACAAAATGGATAAGCGACAACACTTTTGTCAGGGACTGTAGTCTACACAGTTGTGAGTGCGATCGTGTCAGCTGTTTCCCATCTAAAACCAGTCGATTTGAGACTCTTAAGTGTTCAAAAGATCAGAGCACTGCACTTCTAAATGATAAATGATTTTAAAAAAAGTGCATATTTGGCTGCAGTTCAGCATAAAATGAATAAACCAGGACTAATCTTGGGCTCGAGTGAGGGAGAGAGATAGAAACCGAGTCCCGACACTCAGTCCTGGTTCAGTTCTGGTTTAGTCCTGCTTGCAACAAAACAATCTCAAGAGTCGCTTGGGAGCCGAAAGAGCCAGCTACTTTAGTGAGCCGAGCCAAAAGAGCCGGTTCTCCAAAAAAAAAAAACTGGAATACCCATCACTAGTAGCTAGAATGTGATGCAAAAATGCCATTAGGCCAATCTACTGTTTGTAAATATGATGTAAAGAGTCAAAATAACAATAAATGTTGCCTAAATAAACCCAATTTAGAATCCACTAGAGCCAAACCTAAGTTTTTTAATCAATTCAAGATTTACAGTGAATTTTTACATCACTAAATATATCGGTGATTATATCGGCTATCGGCAGCTCCAACTTTCATTATATCGGTTTCATATCGGCCACAACAAAATCCATATCGGTCGGGCTCTAACTCTCACCTTTTTACTTTTAAAGAATGCTTCAAACTGGATTAACAGCACTGTTTTGTGGACCAGGGGTCATTATTTGGAGGACAAATTATATGGAGAACGTGTATGAGATGCTGTAGTTTAAATGTACATCTTCACGAGAGGTGAGCAATAATTATTTGCGCTATTTCGAGTTTGTATCTTGCGCCTCTATGTCCATCACTCTTCTGCCCCCGACACTGTTTTATTGCCTGTTACCGTAGTGTTGCAGATTTTTGGTGGTCATGATCTGACAGAGCAACTCAGAGTCACGCTGACACCACACACACGCAGTGGCTACAAAATCGCAAACAAGACACAAAGTCAGGCCGCGCCTTCCCAAACTCAGGGCAGACTCAGAAGGAAAGTGCAGCCAGAATCAGGCAAATTCTCCTGTAGTGTGTGGCAGTGGGTTTCTTCTGGGTTCTCAAGTTTGCCCCATCAACCTAAAACATGTGCAATAGATCTGATCCTCCAGCTAAAATAATCCTCACCAAGACTAGTTCAAGATCTGGAGATGGGTCCCACTGCCCACGACAGTTTGCCCCAGGGGATTTTAGAATGGGTCAACTGCAGAGGATGGATAATGTCCACCAGAAAAGTTACCTAGTGCACCTTTAAGGCTACTAACTGGTCTTGTATTTCAATCGTTTATCAATAATACTCTGATAATGAGCTTAGTTTTATCATCCTGGATGTTTAACTTAACCAGTCAGTGTTCTATTTCTATTGTCTTTCTATAGCACAGTCTGTTGGGCACAAAACCAATCAGCCTATGGTCAAGAATCAGTGTAACTTCCATGGAAATGTTATTGTGTATCCCTGGAATGTTTCCCAGTAGCGTTTAACTTCTCTATTTCCATGAAGACAAGTAGTTCATGGCAAGAATTAATGTAAAAGACACCAGTAAATTAATAAATGCAAGAGATATTAGATAAAAAATTACCCAAAACATAGAAACATACATAGCGCCCATATAAATCAATCAATTTATCAAATGAGTTAAAATGTATTGTACAATCAGCCCATGTGGTCATATAAAATAAAATAAATAAAAACTACATACGTTTGTGAGTTTTGGTGACTGGCTGGGTGACTCAGACGGGCTGTTGGCCTGGACAAATGGAGTGGGCTGCAGTATACTGTGCTGGGACCCCTGTGGAGTGGTGAGGACGATCTCTTTTGGTTTATCTGACAAAGGGGAGGTGGCTTTGGGGGTCCGGACGGGAGGAGTGGGCCTTGGAGGTTTGGGTCTGCTCGGTGGAACTTTAACTGTATCAACAGCGTTGTTTGCTTTGGGTGAAAATGAAACATCAGAAGCATCCAGCGATGCATTTTGGAAGGGATCGGAAAATTTCAAAGGGGAATCTGCAAACGGATCTTCTAAGCTGGAAAAGTCAATATCCCTCGTAACTTGACTCGGGAATGGGTCCACGCTGCTTAAACTGGACGGTGAAAAAATATCCAATTTCTCATTTGCATTTGTACTGAAAATATCATTGCTTTTAACAGATGCTGGGGACTGGTTTTCTTTGTCATAATTACTGGAATTTGTTGAGTAAAATGGGTTTGAGGATGGTGTAGGGTGGAACAAACTGTCAGAAGTGTTGAAAGATTGGCTCACTTCCTTTGAATGAGCTGCTACAATTAAATCCTCAGTGTCTGACTTGTTGCTGCTGAGCAAGGCGGAAGGTGGCGTGGTTCTAAATAAATCCGGCGAATCAAGAGTCACGTCATGAAAATCTGGAGATAATTTTGACTTTAGGAAAATATCCTGAGTTGGTTTAACAGAAAGAAAGTCATTTTGTGGATATAAATTAGACTGGTTTCCCACAGATGCCAGTGAGTCCATTAGCGAACTCTGAGATTCAGGAGGAAGACCAAAGATGGAGTCCATGTTTGGAGGGTCTGTTGATGTTTCAGTTGAATTTTCCTCTGATGGACTGGTGCTTTCCTGCAATAAAATAACTACTTATTAGTAAAGCTGAATAAAACATAACCTCTTTAAAAAATATGTCCTGTACTCATTTTTTTTTAATATGTAAGCAAACTTTCTCTTGCCCCAGTATAGATTTATTGTGTGAGCACCCCTAGAGGTCAAAATAAATAAGCTGCCTGTTGTCTGCATCTAATTAAAAAGTTTGTTATTGTCTGATAATCAGGAGGTACAAAGTTAGCATCCTAGTTGTTGTTAGAATTACTGTCACTGCAAAACTAGAATAAACTACACTAAAATTTTAGCCTGGATTTTTTTTTTTTGCATAAACAACAAACCAAGAGGTGCAAAGGAGATGTGCAAGGGTCGGTCACTGAACACTCACCAGGTAGTAGGAGTAGAACGGGTTAGCTGAGGGCTTGTGGACTCCATTCTGTCAACAGAGGAAGACATTTCTGTTTTGTTTGTCACTGAGCAGATGACAGACGCATGACTCAGCAAACAGGATTTTCAAAACAAACACAAGTTTGATACGTGTAACAGAAGCAATGACACAGCGCAATGATCTTTTTTTTTTAACTTTTATATAAATAGACAAAATCACTTTGCACTATGTAACTTATCGGTTGCGGGTCCGTCACCTCTATGAATATGTCATTGTCCAATCTGGAATGTTCCACAGTATGACATTAAACAGCTTTATCTTTCTATCTATTCTATTCATTTACAGGTGGGTTAATTGCTCAAAAATATCTAGCAAAAACAAGCATTCTGACTGTGAGTGGGGTTGTTTTTCCACAGATCTGACCTATAACTTGGTCTGGTTTAGTCTCCGTAAAGATATAATGGTTTAATAACATACTGTGAAACATTCTAGACAAAGCTAGAGAAAAGCAATTGACGGGCCCCCCACCAAAAAAGTTGCACAATGCTCTTTTAAGGCATAAGTGCTCTATTTGAGAAAGTCAATAATTGGACCCCACTTCGATTGGCATTTTTAGCTGTAGTTGAGTCATTAACATTTCCATTGTATAAAAATGTCTGATTTTTGATATCCACTGAACAATGGTGGGTGGCTCAGGTATCAGACAGTAGATCATGATCAATGCAAGATGCAGCAGAAAACACAGATCATGAGACAGAGAAACAGGAAATGTATTAAGCAAAAAGATCAGAGGGTCATGATAAAAGGTTTAAGAGTTCATTCACAAATACTGCACACACAACGCTAACACAAGCTTACATAATGAGGATCGGTAAAACTAAAAATAAAGCGAGTTTATTTTTACCTGTGTAGCTGCAGACAGATCTTTATCCATGGTCAGTAACCCGCTCTGAGGACAATAAAACAATAATATACTTCAGTGAGTAATAGTATTTAAGTATAGAGGTGAAGTGTCTTGCCTAAAGACACATTGACAGTTTCCACTAGAGCCACTGCTGCTCCACTGTGATATTCCCAGCAGTCTCCCATCCAAGTACTAATCAGGCCCAACCCTGCTTAATTCAGACATGGACTTAGTCTGGACCGCCCAGAGGAGGTCCTGAGTCAGAGTCTACGTGAGAGATTATTTAAAAATATGAACTGTTGCATAACAAATAAGAAGATGTATTGTTTTTTATGCTGCTGATAACTTGGATGTGAGAACAATGTTTCGTGTCTGTGTATTTTTACACTGAAATGACAAATAAATTCTGATTCTGAAGACAACACCAAAACCTATAATTATTCATAGTTTTTTTTTAATACTTGTAACTTCTTAGGCTTTTAAATTTGTAGTGAATATCTTATTTTTGATCATTTATCTGTCTGTTTGAATCCAGTAACTCTGTGAATTATTCTTCAGATGTTAAGTCTAAAGAGAAAAATACAACAGTAAAATATGAGCTCTTCTCCCCATAGCCCTGTACCTGAGCAGGTAAAAGCAATTTACCTGGTACTTGCTGTGAAAAGGACTTTGAGAGACTTTCTTCAGCATGTTCTGCAGAGCTTCAACACTCTGGAGTTAGAGACACAACACAACGTTCATTTTAAGAGGGTCCATGTTTTTGCACTGATATTAACTGACATCGGTTGAGATGTGAGGTTGGGTCCATGAGAATAAAACTGAATAAGTTGTGCAATGCAGTTCAAAATTTTGTCTCTACTATTTTTGATTTAGTGAAAGGTGTATTGTGTAACTTTTCTGGTGGAGGTTCCATGACCTGCTTATCTCCATGGAGACGTTAATGCTTTGCCTGGGATGTTCTGTGGTTTGACATTTAACACGTTTTATCCAGCATGTATTCTTTATGGGTGTTTATATTGCTCAAAAATACAGTCATTTTATCTGTGAATATGGTTGCATCTCCACAGATCTGATTATGTAATTGTAGCCTCCAGTTGTCTCTCTTGAAATAGAAAGGTTAAGTCTCTACCGTGGAACATTCCAGGCAAAGCAAAAAAAAACATCTCCATGAAGACAAGCAGGCGACGAACCCTCCACCAGAAAAATTGCCCAATGCCCTTTTAACAACTTGAAATGTAACTCACCAGCACTTAACCTTTTTTTTATTTATTTTTTTATTCAAAACACAACAAAAATCACACAAGACCTGTTTCCTTATGTGTGAACAATCTTGTGGTGATTTTATCTCACGACATCGTCCCATCCCTAATTGACACGTGCTAACTGACTTGCTAACACGTGTTCAGATCAGATAACAGCAATATACAATAACAACACTTAAATGAACATTATGTAATCCAAGCACACAGGGTCAGAAACCAATTATAAAACATATACGGAAAAATAAATTGATAAATAAACTATAAGGCAGAATATTTGAAATAAACCTATATGTCAAATGTTGTAGTTGACTAGGCCTGCAACATTAATCACAGTTGAATGTTCGCAAATTATGCGAAATTAGGTTTGAATGCAAATAACAAAATATTCTATCTCAAAATAGGTCTTATTCTGTGCAAAACGGGTAATCTTGTAGCTTAAACCTCTACAAACATGTTCTGAAATGCATGGGATTCTTGTATTAGTTTATCAGTTCAGATTTCAGTCTTCTCTCTTCTGGACATGATTAAAACACGCACAATGAACAGAATTTTGATTCGGAAAAAAATATATATACAAACTCAATTTTATTTTCTTCCCAAAGTTGTCATTAAGTGCCCTGTAAGCATCAGTCACATATAAATCAACCAGTTAAACAACACTAAGCCATGGTTTTCACTACTGACATCACTGAACTCATTTCTCTATTATACTGGCCTAATCCCTTAAGTCATCTAGGTTAGTGTATTACCATAAAAAACAAAAAGACAAACTCATCTAAAATACTATTAAAGGCTACAGGGATTGCAACTGTAATATATCTTTATAATAGTACAGCTCCAAATGTAGGCCACTATATCAGAATGTTTGTCTGCAATTCCGATCTTTAACCATAACATCAAACTAGAAAAATTAGCAAGCATACCCTTCATAGAACTATCACTATATCAGTACATTTCACCCTCATCATCTGTATGTTTTTGTTTATATTATTTTATTTATTTTCACACGCAAATCTTCGTTTTCTTTATGTTTTGCATGAACACAGGATTGCTAGGTTTGCAATTTTTTTTAATGCCTATTAGCTAAAAAAAAAAAAAGAAAGAAAAAAAGAAAGAAAGAAAAAAAACTAAAAACGCAAAATAAAAATACAAAAACTTACTGGTCGTCTGTCTCTAAGTGAAGTTGGTTCGTTTAATCCGCCATTTTCTTCCACAGTCTCCTAAAACAAGATTGAATACAGATGAAAATGCATTTTAGTTTAAAAAATGAACAGTACCTATTTGTCCTCTTAAACTTTCAGAATTGGAAATGGATTAATTTAACTTACCATAGCCGCACCAATCATTTTAACCAAAGTTTTGTTAAAATTGTAGATAGAAATATGGAAATAAGTTGACGCTTGGTTTAAATAACAATCGCGTGCTGGAGTGACATGCTGCAATTGACTGACTCACTCACCTGTAACAAGCACAAGCGTAGACATAGGTACACTTCTGGGCCACACCCTTTCAAAATAAAAGTTAATTGATAAAATATTCTTTCTAAACTGATTAAAGCTCAACAGCATCACATGAATGTATTTATTTTAGCTGTAAATTTAATGTTAATGTTTATAACGAGAAATAAAGTGTCATTTTGAAGTCCTTACCTCGGTACACTATCTTTGGTACATTTTGCGCTCATGATTTTGTTTTGAAGTACTTTGTCTCGCTTCCTGGATGCTTGGCCCTGGTCTCTCCTCCGCTCCCATCCCACAGAAGACAGCCGAGAATGAATGCGCCCGGACCGGTTACAGGAGCCGTTCAACCGGGCGGTGTGACCCGGTTAGTGACGCCAGCTGCAGACACGCCTCTGAAATGTTGCTTTTAATAGTTGCACGTTTTCAAAAGTAGTTACTAAAAACTGTCAAATAACTCAACCACAAGTTTGCAGAGTGAAAATCAATGTTCTGAGTCAAAATATTATGTACTGTAACAATAAAATGAATTCATGAGAAGGTGCAGGTTGGTGGAGGATCACACACACAGGGAATGATGTTGCTGTTATAGTTGTCAACCGCAAGAGGGCGCCAAAGTTACTGAGCTTAGACTTGGACAAACTTTATTGAGCCACAAGGGAAATTATTTGGACACAGTAGATCACACATCACAGTATCCAATTATAATAACAAAGAGTAAAATATAAATGGTAATATTAAATAAAAAATAAGTAGCAAAAATAGCAAGAGACTGGTGTCAATAAGGTATGGGTCTAATTATAAATGTATATGCACCAGTAAAATAAAATAATGACAGACAGACAGACAGGCAGACTGACAGATAATACTTTATTGATCCCCAAAGGGAAATTCAGTTCAATTCAATATAGAAATATAATCCAGTGGTTTTAGATTACCAGAGATGGTAGAGCAACCAAAATTGTACTCAAGTGTGAGTAGTGTTACTTCAAAATTATACTGCTCATGTAAGAGTATGTTAATAGGCTAATTGGGGAAATGATGGCTCAAGTAAGAGTATTGTAACTGGATGTAACATTTGATATATTTGGGTTAACTGAAAGGTTTAAATTATATATGTATAGGGTTAATAGAGAGTACAAAAATGAGAAAAACATAATCATTTAATTTAATATTTTCAACATAAAGCTTTTGTCAGAACCATAAATACAATAAAATCAATAAATTATTTCTCTCCTGCTCACCCCTGTCTTACACTGATGTATTTTAAAGTCTAATAGCTCCAAGTAAAAAGGACAGTGTGTCTGTGGAGCAGATAAAAGAGCACCTCTGCCCCAGCATTAGCTCAGAGAGTGACTACTGTTTTCCAGAGAGCAGCTTGTCTAATGTCCTCCTCTCCATCATAGACACCACAGAGTCTCAATTATAAAATATGAGTACCTACAAATATGTTCCGTACGTGACTTTCCATGTCAGGTCTGTGATCTATGTCAGGTTTGTGATCTATAAAAAGATGATTTAACATAGAAATGCTCAAACTGTATTTAGGAAATTATTTGGACACAGTAGTGCACACATCACAATATATTATAATAGCAAAGAGTTAAAATATAAATGATAAAAATAGATTCGAAATAAGTAGCAAAAATAGCAAGAGACTGGTGTCAAATAAGGCATAATTGTATAAATGTATGTACAAGTAAAATAAAATATAGAAATTAATAATATAAATATAAATCAGCTATATAAAAGAGGTCATAAGGATAAACAGTGCAAAGATGAAATAATGATTATAAGGTTATCTGTTACATAAGGGTGAAGTGTTGTACAGTTGTATGCAGTATGGTATGAATGTAGTATTTGGCCAAAGAACTACTGTCAGTGTGAGTAACCTAAAGAGTAACTGTCTGGACATAACATATGATTTATAATTTGAATTAAGTTGCAGCAATAGAAGAATAAATCATTAAAATAAATAATGCACAAAAACTGCTTTTCAAATAATATATATATAAACAGAACTGCATAATTTCTGAAGAAGCAATACAAGAAACAAAAAATGTTTAAATAATTCTGACAAACTCTTTGCAGTTTGTGTGAAAAGTTTGAGAACTGTTCTAGAGCTTGTTTTGCTAATGTCTCTGGTGAAGGCAAAATCGAAAGAAAAAGTGGAAGTTTCATACACCTTGGTATTATTGTTAGCTCACATTTTGATGTAATGTTTATACAGATTAGTTTGATAATCCTGTTGAAAATATGCGTAGTGCTTTTGGCTGCTTTCTTGAATTTTATTTGATCATAATCTTAGATGGCGATCATGGGCCTGTGTAACTCTATGAGAAATATCCAAATGTATTATCCACAAATGTATCAGTGTTTGTAAGGCACTGCATCCACAAACAAATGTGTTATATTAAGCTTATGGTTGAAAGTCCTTTCAGCTCACAAGTTAGTCCTTTGGGGTTGAATAAAGGCACAACTTCCTGAAACTATTGTGAAAAGAAGATTTCATTACTGTTTATTTTTGCTGACAGTGAAAACATTTTATGTGGATAATCCCAGTAATTCCAGAGATATTAACCATAAAAATAAGCAAATTTGCAATTTGACAGTTAAACAGCAAATCTCACCATAGAAATCCACCTTGTCCTCCAGCTCAGTGTTAAACTATAAGGATTCTATTAAAAGGCACATGACAGGGCAGAGTACTAATCTCCCTTAGACATAATTGCCATCATTATATTTAAAATCTGACCTAAAAACGAGCCTGTAGTCTTTTGTATTTGTTTTTTTTTTATTTTGTGAAGCTTATAATTCTACTTCCTGGTCAAACATGAGCAGCAGATATGACCTATTTAGTGATATGTTACCTAGGAACTATAATGATAACAAGGGCCAAAACCTGTCTGAATTACACAATAAAATATTATATGACAAATAAAAATAAATAACAAGACCTTAGTTTGTTAAACCATGTTTATTGGTCCTATATTATGCAAAACGACTCTTGTGAGCGCTAAGTAATGTTAGAATTAGGGGTGTCAAATTATCGCGTTAATTGCGATTAATTAATTACAGTCATATTTAGCGCGTTATGTTTTTTAATCACGTTAATCTCATTTTTAATCTCTAATTTTACTGTTTCTGTATGTGAGTTGCTTTATTATAAAACCTGTTTTTATGTGTTGTTGGGACAACAACACACACACACAAAAACACATTTATACACTTTTTTATTTCGGTAATTCCACTCATTGCCGGAAACCCACACAAAACGCGTGCAGTAACAGTGATGTAAACGTCATGTTCACGTTCGCGGCATCAGTCACACAATGGACGAGGTCGAAGAGCCAGTAGAACAGAGGCAGCAGTGCACAGGTAAAAACACATTCGTGTCTTGGAAATTATTCTCCCGACGTGAAATTTAAAAGAAAATAACAAATATAAAATCACCTACAACTTAAATGTCACTGGTGAAAACAACCTGCATAGGCTCATGATGTCTGCACTACTGTCCTATAGTGACCTGCCACATGAGGGGACACGCACACAAACACACACAAACACACACACAAACACACACAAACACACAAACACACACCTTCATCATCGTCATTAACCTGAGAACGCGCGGACCACGTTTCCTTCCGTAGACACTGCGCCGCGTGTGGATCGTGTTTTCTCGCTACGCTGCGTAAACCGCGCTTCCTCCTGTGCGCCTCTAAACCAGAACTAACACCAAGACTAAAACCAGGTCTAAACCAGGTCTAAACCAGGTCTAAACCAGGACTAAACCAGAACTAAAACCAGAACTAAAACCAGGTCTAAACCAGAACTAAACCAGGACTAAACCAGAACTAAAACCAGAACTAAAACCAGGTCTAAACCAGGTCTAAACCAGGACTAAACCAGAACTAACACCAGGACTAAAACAGGATTAACCCATTCCAGGACTAAACTAGGACTAAACTAGGACTAAAGCAGGTCTAAACCAGGACTAAAACCAGGACTAAAACCAGTGATCTCATATATAAAGCATTTCTCTATCAATAATATTTTTAATATGGTTAAGGAAAGACTGGACTTTTTATTGTCTTTAAGTCGACAAAAGTTATTATGTTCAGATTTCCTCGTCTTTGCTACTTTACAGCAAACAGTTTCTTATTCATGGAGACTTGGGCTCAACAGCCAATTTGAAGAGATTTGTTAAACAATAAATGACTTTATAAAGTCACTTTTTTTTAATCTATATCAGTCTTTTGATCTGCCACAATAATGTAATAATGAATTTAAATGAAAATACCTCAAATTGAAGGCTTTTCTCAGACATTTTTAGGTGAGATTAAAATGAGATTAATTAGATTAATTAATTACAGATCATAATTAATTAATCTCTCAATTTTTTTAATCGCATGACAGCACTAGTTAGAATGTTGTTACCTCATCAAAAACAGTTATGTTTCATTCACAGGTTTCAGAAACCTTTTTAATAATTTATTATTAGTCCCCCACCACTGGTACTGTGCAGGGTAGGCTGGGTTGAGATTAGGGTTGTTAATCTGTGAAAGGTACAGTGTTGCATTTTCACTGTAATTTCATTTTTGTATGTTGCAAAGACAATACAATAACATGTGTATATATTATTTCTACTTAACGGAATTGAAAAATATATGAATACAATTATGAAAAAAAAAAACATTCCTTAGAATAATGAAAATGAAAGACATATATAGGTGCATGTGACAGCCCCATGAATTATCCACAGGGGAATTCTGGGAGGAACCAACCACATTGGTTGTATAAACATTTCATGTTTATTTTGCATTTTGTTCCCCTTTTATGAGATCAAGATGCTCCAGTGCATTTTAAACAAAACATCTTTCAACTTTCAGTTTTGGTTCATTCCTGGGGTTTTTTTTGTTTTGTTTTGTTTTCTATGGGAAATCACCCATCTCAGTGTCCCACTGGGCAGTTTTTTAACACAGAAGTC